TTTTCCTCCAAAGATGATCCAGAAATGCATCTTTACACATGATTATTATCCACTGTAACTTTCTGAAAAAGACTGTTCTACAGAAAAAGAAACATACAGAGGTCACCAGTTTAGAGATTGGTTAAATTGGATGATGGAAAAGTGCCAAGACTGTATGTTACATTGTTCTATGTATTATCAGTATTTTTTCTTCCTAAGAAAAATATTTACACACTTTGTGAGTAAATGCTTCCTTAATGTCTTGTCGGTAAGTGTGGGAGGCAGCCTCAACTTGGAGCAGGCTCCCTCTTTTCTGGTGTCTTAAGTGGAGAACTAGTTGGAAAAAGCCAAGTTAAGGCCAGCCTTGCTCATCTTCCTTTCCTCTAATAAGGGGTAAAAACAGGCAATGCACTCCTCAAAGATCAAGCAGTTAGAGTTCAAAGAGTAGCTTTTGTGTCCTGGCTCCAGAAGGCAGCAGTCAGATTCTCCCTTGTTGGCCCTGCCCACCCTCTTAAACTGTGCCACCAAAGGGAGCAGGGGCTCTCCCTCAATGTGCTTAACCCTTAGCCTCCAGTGGAACACTCAAAGTCCCAATGAGAACATGGAAAAGTATGCGAGGAAAAATGGTTACCTTAAATGCCAACTAATAGATTTGGAGGGGGTGGTATTTGATGTGCTGTTTACTCTCAGTTATGTTAATGCAAACACGGTCATTATTAGGACCTTTTCCCTTCCCAGCTAGAAATAGAGAATGAGTTGTATATTGCTTTTATTCAACTTGCTGTCGCATTAGAGTTGGAGAAGGGACTTGGATCCGTGTGGACTGCCACAGCTGGCTGTCTCCTCAGGCTCATCATAAAGAGCATTTCGACGAGAGGACTCAGAACAGAGCATGCCCTGTCGGGGATGCCTTCCGCCACCAAGGAAATGGCACAAACTCAAATGGGATGTGATGTGTTATTTGAACAGTACCAAAGTGCATTCTTCAATGTATGTTTACCTGCTTGAGGAGAGGCCCAAGTCGAGAATATAGTGAAGCACTCATGAAAGTGAATGTTCTGTTTCTAGTCAAAGTCTTATCTCTGGAGAGCGATCTCAGGCAAATCTGGGCTAAGCTTAGACTACGTGCGTTTGTTATTTGATGGGAGATGCCCCACGTTGGAATGTCTTGCTTTGGCATTCAGAAGGATGAGAGAAATTAGTCAGGATGGGGTTTCTTTCCATGGTGTACAACTGTCTTTTGAGCTCTAAGTTATTTTTGATTTATGACTTATTGCCATATTCAGCCATTCTTCTAATGGAGGCACCAAGAAAGGGTTTGAGTGAAGAACAAATGTGTAGGATTTCATTGTCCTTGCACATTAGGGCTGTACTCAGAACATCTGATTTTTAAAAAATCCCCTCTTGGAAGCTTGCTCAGGAACCCATCAGAATCCCCTTGGTATCAGTTTCTCATCCAAAAGAGAACAAATGTATCCTTGTTCCATATAAACTTGTAAAACCAATTTGAACTACTGATGTAAGAGTCCTTGTCACACATGGTAAACTAGCACCTGAGGAACCTTTGAAATCTTCTGGCCCAACCTCTTCTAAAGGAGGGTTGTTAAAATGATTTGCAAGAAACAATACAGCTAGTCAGAGAAGAACAGAACTTGATTGTCCCTTGGCCCATAAAGTAATAGAAAATGCCTTACATGCCACATTCATTAATTCCCTTATAGCTTGGTGTGGTAAAAGGGGTGGCCCTCATTTGCACGTAGGAAACTGGCCCTGACAGCCTGGAAGCCAGGTCCTCTGACTCCAAAGCCACTGATTGCTTTTTCTGCTGCCCCGGTTCAAATCGGTCTCAGGGCGGTGCCATCTTCCTCTGCTGGCCTTCCCTAGCAGTATAGTTCAGTTGCTTTCTGGGTCGTCTTTCCTCCTAGACTGGGCCTGACAGGGCTAAAGAGATCCGCCATCCCTCTGCGCCCACTATAAGGGTGGGAAGTATCCTGAGGTAGCAAGAATTGTGAGGCACAATCTGCAACTAAATCAGTCCTGTGGCCACATCCATCTCTCCCTGGGTAATCACTGGCACCTTGGATAAATGACTAGGAAAACATGGCAGAATTTAAAGAACTGGTGGTAGGAGAAAATATTTCTTCTGGTTTGCTCCTGTTAAATTGAAGAAGGTTCAGAATAGTGGCAGCCAGCTTCCCATCTCCTTATAGAGAAGGAAGGGGGTCCTGGGTGAGAGCCAGCCGAGAGTTGATATACCAAGTGGTAGTTCAGATGTGCTCAGGTGAGTGAGCGACTATGTGGCAACAGGAAGGGTGGCTACCACCCAAATGGCCTCCTTGATTAGTTATGAATTCCAGTTCATTTGACAGATCTAGTTTGAGGCTTTGTTGAGATGCGGATTAGGTCATGTCTCTTCAAAAGCACAAAACTCAGGAAACCAAGCAACTGAGGCCTCAAAATGTGTTTTTAACACCAAAAGGACCCGTAGAGATTGAAAACCCCATTGATGCTATGGGTAAAGTTAAATGAGCTGCTCTACCTATATTATACAGCAAATAAGAGAGGGAGGGTTAAAAAATGAACCCTAGTAATGTGACGCAGTCTGGATTACTCCTGAGATACAAAAGAATTGGACATAACTGGTAAATGATTGTATGGCTTCCAGAAATGCAGCAATTCACCTGTATGGGAGGGTGAGGGAGTAGACAGTCTGATATCCTGCCTTAAAACGTCAGGCAGGTTGGAATGCTGTTTTTTTCTTGATAGGAATGTGGTGGTTTTAAAGGAATGCCAAGGTAGTGCCTGTGGGAGTATGCTCAGCACTGGCTCCTAGTCGCCTTAGCCATAGCTGTGTATAATCTCCTTAAGATGAGAAAGCTCATTATCAGGAATGCAAATGATCTTGGCAGCCTGGAGGCTAAGATGATGAAATGTAGAAAATCCTGCATTGGATATCAAAGATCAACTTCAAGTATAAAAAAGGGAAAGCAGTTCTGGTATTAGTAATCTGCTGATAAAGGCTTAATAAAAGCCAAAGGGATAATGCCATTGGTTTTAAGCATGAGCAAAGGACGAATAAAATGTTTGGCTCTATAAAAATGTCCTATTCAGAGAAGGGAGGGGGCAATGGTGCTTTGTGCTATGTTGGACACAGCTGGAGTACTGCATCTTAGCTATCATGAGTAGAGAGAAAAACCCCAAACTTGGCAAGTCCAGGAAAGGCAACCAATTTAGTCAGATGGTATCCTATGTGGAATAACTGAGAAAGTTAAGAGTGTCTGGCCTGGATAAGTGTAGCCTCTTCAGGATGTTTTCACATCGGTGAACAGTTGGCCTGGCTGGGCAGAGAAAGCAGATACTCTTGGCCAAAAAGCAGAGCTAGGACAAACAAAGGGCTTAGATAGCCCAATGACTAGAACTGTTCTATAGCTTTCTCAACAAAGTAGGGGACAGCTTTTGGAAGGAATGAGCTCCCTGACACTAGATGTGCAAGCAGGAGTTAAATGATCTATTGTGGAGTTTGCAAGAGGCTTCCTCCCTCGAGGTTGGGAGATGTTTCCAGGAGCCTTTCAGGCCTGAGAGCCTATGGTTTGTTAGTGTTTCTAGCTGAAGGAAGCAGTCTACTTCTTTAGAACTGGAACCTAGCGAGGTTTACAGTGTGAATGTTGGGGTGGATTCTCCTCCCTGACATCAGGGGAAGGGTCTTTGGCCCCAGGAGATCCAAGGTGGTGAGTCAGCAACATGCCCGTGTACAGGAGTGGTGCTGTGGGTAATATTATTACCCGTATCTGTCCAGGTGCCTGTGTGAATGAGTGAGATATGACTGACTTTGTAATTTGATATATATGTGACTGTATGAATGCAAATGTGCCTAGTATGGTAAATATTTAACTGGCCACATGTGTGAGGCTATGTGGTTGAGTATGATCGTATGCAAATATTCTGTGTCTAATAGAGTCCCACACTTGAAATACAGCATATACTCCATGCTTCTCCTGTTAGGTCTGTGGCTATAAGACTAAATTTCTATAATCGTCTTTATTACAACTTAGGTTGTCGGAGTTTATGTCTTGCTGAGGATCCTTAATCCTTGTGGCACTGCTTCCTGGAGACTCTGGGAACTGCTATCCAGATCTGAACTGTGGGCACCTCCAGAAAAGTAGCCTTAGGAACAAGGGTTGCCCAGGTAACTAGGTCATACCCAGCATCCATCCCCTCTGCGCATCTCTGGAATTCAGCCCCAGTGGCCTCCAGATCCTCCTCTGTAGCAGGTGCTGACTAGTAGGCACTCGCAAGAGGGGGGCAACCCTGCAGGCTGCCTGGGCCATAGCTAGTTTATGTACTGTGAGCCCAGGTTGACCTTGCACAGCCCCAGGGTCTGTTTCAGAGGCACACAGCCCACTGTGTTTGCATATGGGACTTCAGTCCATGTCCTAGGTTAGAGGACCCTGGGAAACTCCATGTAAGCCCTTTCCTCAGCTCGTCCCAACTTTGTGGCCATAGCTGTCTGATAAAGGAATTCCCAGTCCTCTCTTCCTCCTCCCCACATCTGCCCTCACAATGGAAAAAGCTGCCCAACAGAAAAAGCAGCGTTTCGGGGCTTGATGGTCTATTTTTCCACCCCCTTCCAACACACACACACGCTTTATTGGCTGTGGGTGAGTTAATGTCTCTGAGCCTTACTTAGGTCCTGTGGTGCTTCTCTGCTTCATCAACTTTTCTATCCTAGCGCTCAACTGTGTGACTCAAGCAGGTTTCCCATAGGACTCTAGGATGCGCATCACCTCGGAGATCTTTCCCAGTGTGACAGCCTGGCCCAGGCTCCAAGAAAGAACATAGGCTACCCTGCTCTCTGCACCCACTCTTTATTGCAGCTGGGCCAGGCGCTGGATCCTGCCGGGCCTGGGGAGGGGAGGTCCTGACAAGCTCCCCACTCTGGGGCCAGCCAGCAAGGCTGAGCTGAGCTCTGAGGCCCACACCCAGCCCAACCAGCCCGCGGCAGAGGCATGGTCGAGAGTGCGGAGCCCTCGGGGAGGGCGCAGGGCGCAGGCCCCGCAACGCACGTGGCCCTGTACACAGCTCTAGCCTTTCGAGTCACTGGCTGTGGGCTCCTGGCAGAACTCATCCATGAACTGGAGGAAACGGCCGAACTTAGGTGGGGCCTCGCTCAGGGCTGGGCGGGCCAGAGGCGGTGCTGTGGCCCCGAACACTGTCCGCATCGAGCTGCGCACCAGCTGCTGGTAACGCGCCCGAAACTCCTTGAGCAGCCTCTTGGCCTCCAGGTACTGCTTCTGGTTCACCAGCCGCCGCTCTGTCCGCTGACTCAGGACAGCTCCTGAGGGAAAGAAGCCAGGAGGGGCAGCAGGCTCGCTCTGGGTGTCACCTAGCCTAAAGCAGTGGGGGCTGGGGCTAAAGGCCTTACTTAGAAAATGGGATGGCATGGGAGAAGAATGTTAAGGGGACTGAAATATAGCCTCTCCAACTTACTGGATTTCGTTAAGCAATGTCACCATAAAAAAATAAAGAAAACAAACAAAAATCAAAACAAAACAAAACAATAAAAAAGAAGAGTAAAGAAAAAAGAAAAAAAAACACCTCTCCAGCTTGAGGCATTAGGAAGCCAGCGGTGTCCTGTCATGCCTTAGTTCTAGTCTGCAACATGCTGTGGGACTTTAGGCAACTTCCTGCCTCACTCAGCCTTCAGTTTCTTCACCTGGGAAGCGCTGGGGCAGATGCTCCCTAAAAGCCCTCCTAGCTCTGAGATGAGCCCTTTGCTTTATACCAGCAGATGAATAAACTAGATCTCTGGTCCTGGCAGCTGAGGACTGGGGGCCAGAGCTATACCTAGCGGAGCCTCTGTAATGTTCTGGGAGTCCCGCATGCGAATGAGGATGTCATCCAGAAGCTGGGCTCGAGTCTTCCGTGGAGGCGGAACAGGCATCCTCTGGGCCTGACAGAAGGTGAGAGGAGAGTGTTATCTCAATCTTATGCTCAGACTTTCCTGGCCTCACCTCCTCATATAGTCACAGCTACAGGTTGGGAAGCAACTGGGGGCGCTGGGAAAGCATGGCCCTTAGAAGGGCCTGAGGTGACAGCCACCTCTGTTCCTGTGGGAGTCCTGAAGGACCATTTATACACTCAGGGAGGTGCAGGTTTACCCGTTTCTCTTTGGGAACATAGTGTTTCTGAAGAGTGTTCATCTTGGGCTTGGAGGAGTGGTAAAGGCGCGGGTGCTTCAGCATGTGCTGCAGGGCCTGTGCATTCTTCTGGATTCCTAGGGCAGGAAGGCAACATGGAGTCGAGGTACCTCCCCCACTTTCTCCTAGATGTCTCCCCCAATTTGTTAATTCCCCATCTCATAGTGGTCCTGGATAAAAGGATGAAAAGCCCCAAGAGGGTGTACTGTTCCCACATCTCTTCCTGATCTGCTGCAGTGTCAGAAGTTCCATCACTTATTCAGTGAATACTGGTCCCTCATGAGCACAGATCCTAATGGGAAAATGGCATTGGTGTGGGGAAAAGGGCTGACTTCAATGTAATCCCATTAACCTCAGCGGGGTTATACTGCAGAGACTGACACCCGAGAGAGCACAGCTAAGCTCTAGTTCCTTTGAAAGTCCCAATACTATTAACATATCAGTCTGAAATAAGGAGCTCAGAGATGGCACTGTCTCCCTTGCCTCAAACCAAATAGAGGAGACTGGATGTTCAGTCTGGGGCTTAACCGGGCTGGGGAAGAGCTGGGGAATCTGGGTGTTTGTTCATCAGACCCTTCCTGGAGAGACTTTGCCAACCAGAGCTAGGCCCAGACTGGTTGGAATCTGAACAGCTGTGGCTCCCCAAAGCCAATTAAGCCACAGGCCAGGGGTTCCAACATGTAGGGCTCCAAACCAGGACACCCTCAGGGGCCCTCTGACAGTCCGAAGACAGCTCCTTGGTCTGGAAAAGAGGCTTGGCACTAGCCTTGGCTTTGCCCTGACTTGTTCTGGGCTGTGGAGAGGGCTCCATGCCTTGGAGCTAGTCTTCTCACATACCCTTCGGCTCAGTGAAGGTTGGATCAGGCTTGGCTGTCAGCAGCTCCTCGTAGCCATGGTACTTGCTGGGGAGTGAAACAGATGGAAACTTCCTCCGAGTCCTCTTCACCTCTCTGGGCGCTGGGGGTAGGGGTGATCTTTGTTTTTTCTCCACCTCTGAAGCATCCCTCTGGAGAATGGAGGAAGGCAGCCCACTCACCTGGCCCAGGAAGAAAAATACATTCATTCATTCCATGAACACTTCTGAGCCTCAGTTCTGTGTGGGGCCCCATGCTGGGCCCTGTTAAGGGCAAGAACTAAGACTGGGGTGAGAGAAGGCGAACATGAAAATAGCCAATGACCATACACCTTGGTAAATGGCTGTAACAGAAGGGAGCACAAGGCTTCTAGGTGAGCCCGCAGGAAGCCCTAAACCAGCCTGGGGTGCCAGGAATTTTTCTGGAGGAAATGATGCCTTAGCCTGAGCTATGTCTTGAAGAACCAGAAGAGCCATCCCCAGGCAGGGGTGGAGAAAAGAGAAGTCTACAAGTGATGAGAAAGGAAGACTGTTGCAGGCAAGGGATGCTATTATAGCAAGGAGCACAGGTAAGACACAGCAAGGTGCTTTTAGGGGAACCTAATACTGGTATAATTGGAGTGCACTGTAAAGAGGGAGGCAGCTGGAGCAATAATCAAGGCCCAGATCAGTAAAGATCTTTAAATGCCAAGCTGAGGCATTTTGTTTTTGTTTTATTTTCTTTATCCTTACTGTGATGGATAACAAGCCATGGAGGAGTTATAGGGGAATAAGTGAACATTGTCTGAATTTGGTTTTAGCCTACCCCAATTGGTTTTATGATAAACATCTTTATGAAACCTGTATTTCATGTAGGGATGTAATTACTTATTATTAAAACTTACGACTGTCTAAAAAGACCTATAACAAGTAAAGAGATTGAATTAGCAATTTAAAATTTTCCCATCAAAAGTCAAGGACCAGATGGCTTCATTAGTGAATTCTACTAAACATTTAAAGAAAAATGAACACCAATCCTTTGCAAACTCTTCTAAAAATTAGAAGAGAGAACACTCCCAACTCATTCTGAGGTCAGCATTACCCTAAAACCAAAATGAAAGAAACACATCCCAAGAAAGGAAAACTACAACTCCATATCCCTATAAACACAAAAATCCTCCAAAAAATGCTAGCAAGCCATATCAGCAACATAGAAAAAGCAATAGGTAGGAAAAGTTAGTTTAATACCTGAATATCAAATATGGTAATATACCTATCAATAAATAAAGGACACAAACCAGATGATCATCTCAACAGACACAGAAAAAGCATTTGGCAAAATCTAACATCTATTCATAAAAAAGCAAAGCAAAAACAAAACAAAACAACAAACAAAGAACAGAAATTTCCTCAACCTGATAAAGGACATTTATGAAAAGCCCACAACTAACATTATAATTAATTGTGAAAAACTAAAAAGCTTTCCTGCTAAGATCAGGAATAAGACAAAGATGTCTGCTCTTGCCACTTCTCTTCAACACTATGCTGGAGGTTATAACCTGGGCAATTAGGCAAGGAAAAAAAAAAGGTTTTTTTTCAATCATAGTGACTCAATTGTATTGCTTTTGGCTGCTCAGAACTGCATTTTGGCAATACACCTCTATTATGAGAGTAGTAGTGCATGATGTGCATGTTTGAGTGGCAGAATTACCCTTGAACTTATTCTTTTCCTTTCATACAACTCTCTCAATTGTTTATTTTTAATGCTTATTTATTTATACTCTACTTTTTTCCAAAAAGGTTCTAAGTCATAAAGATACTTTTTTACTGTAGGAATCTGTGTATCACTGTAAGTCGTACGTGGAGTACGTAAGGGATGGATGGATAGACAATCAGACATAAATGTGTGGGTGAATGTACATCTTGGAAAGATCTGGAGGGGCAAGACTACAGGTGGGGAGATCAGGAAGGGCAGTGATACAATAATAAAGTTCAAGGGGCCCCTGCCGACTCTTCCAGCCTTGTATTTCCGTTTTCCTACATGTCACCCTTCTGTTGCACTAACAATGAACCACTCATGGTTCCTGCAGGTACCATTATAATTTCCTCTGTATCCTGCTTCATGGTGTTTGCTCTGCCCAGAGTGCCCTTGCTGCCTCTATCTTTACCTTGTTAACTCCTACTCAGCCTGCAAAACTCATCTCATTTGATTCTCTTCCAGGAAGCCCTCCTAGTCTGAGGCAGAGGCATCCCCCTTCCTCTAGGCTTCCAGTTCCTGAGTTTCTCACTCTCAGCATTGACTGTATGCACTGTTCCTGTCCATCTCCTCCATTAGACTGAGGACATCTTGAGGACAGGACCATGTCTCATCCATCTGTGTTCCCAGGATTCAGAGGCAGCATCAGAAGTGAGGTGACCTTAAGCAGATTGGCAGAGGCAGCAGCAATCCCTTCTGAAAACCTTGTCAGAATTGCGTCCCAGCCAGCCCCCAGGTGTGGTTTGTACCACAGGACCATGACTTGTCCCCATGGGTGTCTGTACTAGTAGCCATGGGTCAGTGAGTCTCCCAGAAGGGACCTGTAGGCCTAGTTAGGGTGCTACCTTCTGGTTTCCAGATCCGCCTTGTGCTTGCTTCCAGCTGCCTACAGCAATCCAGCTATCTAAGGGCTGCTCAGGAACCTATGGGAGTTGGGAACAAGTGGGCAGGGGCAGGTGGATCCAGGTACCTGGGTCAAGAAGATGGATTCTGTGCTCTTGATGTCCTCATCTGACAGGTGTTCCGGGCTGAGGTGGCCAGCGGTGTCACTTCGGCGGGACGTTGTCTCTTCACTAAGCACAGTGGAGTCGGAGCAGATGGGCGGAAGTGGCACAAAGGTCCGGTGGGGCAGGGAAGGGCCGTGCACGCCCTCCACGGGTATCACTGACTCCTGAGAAGTGCTTTTGGCAGTAGGCCGCACTTCAGTCAGCTCTGACCCTAGTGTCTCCTTTGAGGGAGACTGGGTTGTGGTTCCAGGTAGGCGATGGAGAATCAGAGGCTGCTTTGGCAACTTTAAGATTTGGGTTTTCACCTGTCATGGGAGAAGGGCTGGTATTGGTTTGCTTCCTAATCAGAATCTTTCCTCTTGGACCTCATCAGCCTAAGGCCAGTTTGTACAGTAACAGAGCACTGGGTGAGGGCTCAAAAGGAGAGGGAGGGAGCTAAATCACACTTATGGGCACCTAGGATGTGCCCCATGCATGACATACATTGTTTTATTTATATCTCAAAACTACCCAGTGAATAATTATCCTCATTTTATAGATGAGCAAATGGGCTCAGAGAGGTAAAAGTGACTTGTCCAAGCTCACAGAGTTATTCAGTGGCAGCGTCTGGACTATCTAATTCCTGTCCTGGGCTCCAGGCTTCATTCTACACCCCTGACCATATCACTCCAGCCCTCAGTAGTCTTATTCCTACGATCAAGGCTTAACACAGTGCCCTTAACTTTCCTCAGGGACTCCTAGGAGGGCATGGGGGAGATGGTCCTACAGTTCCTGGAAGGCAGCAACACCAGGCCCCGTTCAGGATGCTGGTCCTTGCACCTTATATAAAGATCTCTCAGAGTTCGAGATCAACGCAATAATTTCTTTCTTGTTGAATTGCCCAGCTTCTTTAATTAGCGAAAGCCTGTCTTCCTTTTTCCCTCCTCCTTTGCCTCAGGTGCCAGGAGGGAACCATGTGCTCAGTTTCCTTCAGCTGCGCTTAGTTCTCCCTAGTTACATGGTAGGTTGATTTTATTCTTTGTCAAAGGTATTTGGTCCACTTATAGCTATACTTAGACAATATAGTGTAGTGGAAAGATCCCCAGCAGTGTTGTAAGAAAAATATGGGCTGGAATACAGAGGGAGCAGACTGCTCTCAACATAAGGAAATGATTCCTAAGATTCAAGCAGGAGATGTGTATTCTAGGCCTGGCACAGCCATTCATGATTAGTATAGGTGACTATGACTTGTACTGGTATGGCTTTGGGGAGTTTATAATGTATTTTCCTATCTGCTGCTTCATCTAATCCTCTCAGCAGCTCTGAGAGGTTTTAGAGTTGAGAAGCTGAAGCTCAGAGAGTGAAACTTGGCCAAATTCAGGCAGCTATGGAAAGTGATAAAGTCAGGCTCATACCTGAGTCTTCTGACTGATTTCTCCCCACATCTCTATAGTTCTTTCTCCGGACCTCAGTTTCTCTGTAAAATTAGGGGGTCAGACTCAATGACCTCCAAGGCTCATCCTGACTCTGCCTTTTGGGTCTCTCTGATTGTCTCATCCCTCCTGGGTATATCTGTATTAATAGAGCACGGAAAAGAGAAGACACTACTGCTACTACAAACCTAATGAAGGGATTCTGGGCATTGTGGGAGAGTGCAGCTTGATTGCCAGGCGGGTCTACATGCATTAACATGGGGTTGGGGAGTACTGCCTTGGAAGCCTTACCTTCCGTGAGTCCTTCCTAGGCATCAAAATATGATGTTTAGCCTTCGCTGTCTTCTTTCGAATTAAGTGGATCCCTAGCCGCTCCTGGAGGAAGCTTTTGAGCAGTGGAGGGACCCCTGGAACCATGATCGGAAAATAAGATCACGATTAGCTAACATTTACTGGGGCACTATGTGTCAGGCACTGTTCTAATAACTGTACTTAATTAACTTACTTAATTCTTACACCAACCCTAGGAGATATGTACCTATATTATTTCTGTTAGATAGGTGAGGAAACTGAGGCACAGAGAGGTTAAGGAATTTGCCCAGGGCAACAAAGACAGTGTGGAGCAAGTATCAAAACTCTGCTGGTGTCACTCCAGGACCCAGAATTCTAAAACTCCTTCAAGCTGCCTCATCATGGACAGTGGGTTCTACTGCATTCACTGTGCTCTGGGAGGAGAGAGCTCTACACCCCCTCTCCAACTGAGAAATGAGGTCACAACAGACATGTTCCACAAAGCAGGGTGTTGCTTAAAGAGCTCACGCAGGATCTAGATAATTCTGTATTCCATTCTCGGCTATGCCTCTTTCTTGCTACGTAACCTTGGGTAGATTGTGAACCTCCCTGATTCTCAGTTTCTGCCACTGTGCACAGGGATGATAATGCCTGCCTCACAAGGCTGCTGTCAGGATGAGCGGGTGCAAAGCAGATGTTCAGCAGTGTCTGCCGTTTTCTCCATCCCCCTTGTCCACCCACCCACGATGCAGAGCAGAGCTCAGGGCTTGGCACTGATAAGGTTGGGATGAGGGTGCCCACATTGCTTCCTGGGCACTGGGTTGTGGGGAACAGCTTTGCAGGCACCATACCTCGTGTGTGGGCCACCAGGGGGTTGTTATGAAAGACGAGCTCACAGAGAGATGGGAAGAGAGCTACCGGCAGGAGGGCGTCTTCCTTCGCAATCTGGAAGGCATGCAGGTGAGAGCATCAGGTTGACACCACCTCTCACCTCTGCCCAAGTGCCTCCAGGCCCACAATGCAGGGCTACATGCTTGCTAGGATTGGGGTGGGGCTGGGGAAGTGATGCTGTTGTGGACAGGACTCACTGATGGGCAACGTCTTATCTCTGTAGTTTCACCTGTTCACGCCCAGAATGCCTTGCCCCTCCTGTCTGAAATCTTACCATCACTGTTTCATGTTTCAAAGTTAAGAATTTTTCTCCCTTCTGTGCACTGGTTATGTAGCTTATACTAAGTGTTGGGGATGCTGGTGACAATAATAACAAAACAATAGACTACTTGTCTTGCAAGGAATCTGGAAAGTAGGCGGGGAATTGACTTTGACTTCAGGATACAGTTTGTCTGACATGTCCCCTTCCTCAGGGCAAACTCTACACACTCCATCAGTCTGTCAACAGTACTCCTAATGGTCTTTTTCACTGAGGCCTGTCCTGGGCACTCATCTGGGGAAGGACAGGGAACAGGAGGTCAAGGGAACCCACCCATCTAAGGGATAAGTAGACCCCATAGTAAGGGAGACCTCATGGCTATCTGGGGCCCACAGGCTGCTCCACCCAAGGCCAGCCTCTGAAGGACAAAAAATACATAATCCTTGTTAAGCAGAGTGGCTGGAACATCTGGGGACTACTCTGGAGAAGGTGTCTATTAGCAATAGAACAGTATCAGAGCCATCAGTATCACAGGGGCCATGCGTGGGGCAGTGACCTTTCAGATGCCTGGATACACTGAAAGCTGTTGGATCAGATTCGGGACCCACAGAAGGCGCTAAGGTCTGAAGGCTGGAAGGAGGAGGGCACTTCAGTTTGGCTTCCTCTGGGACTTCTCTAGGTAGCACTACAGGCCCAGTAGGCTATTAACCTAGTCAATGTCTCATTTTGGTTCATTTGCTTAACAAATATTTACTGAATACCTACATGTAATAAGCACTGAGTTGAGATTGAGCAAAACAGATATAACCACTGACCTCATAGAGTACTACCTAGTAGGAAACAAGCATTGAAGAAACAGTAACATAAAGAAGAGCAGATTTACAACTATGATTAGTGCCCTAAAAGAGAGGCACGTGAAGTACTAGGGTGATTTGACCTAGTCAGAGAGATAGGAAAAGGCATTTCTGAGAGATCTGAAGGATGGGTGGGAGGTAATTAGCAAATATAGTGGAGGATGGAGTATGTGGCAGAGAAACCTCTGTATTAACCAAAACCGTTTCCTCTACTTTCTGGGCACACAGCTGGACTGTGTATCTTCTTGCCTTCCAGGAGCCAGATGTGGTCATATACTCAGTTCTAGCCAGTGCAACCTGGGTGGAAGTAACAGATGCCATTTCCAGGCATAGCTCATTCAAAACCTCCTGCTCGATCTTCTACATCTCTCACCACCTACCCACTCCTCAACCACCTATCCACCAGATGCACAGGATCCAATAAACTACTCTTAAGTCCCTATGGGATGACAAAGCCATAGCCAGAAGGACCCTGGGTCTCTGAATGATCATATGGAAGGCCACCAGCCAACCAGAAACATCCACATAGGATTTCGTAAAAGCAAGAAATAAATTTTTATTGTGTTAAGTCATTGAGATTTTTAAGTTTGTTGCAGCAGTTAGTGTTACTTTAACTAATGCAGAAAGGAAGTGTTCCATGAAAAGAGAACAATGTGTGAAAGGCCTAAGAGCCAGGAAAAAAAGGTGACCACTAGGTTTTGGCTTGAGTAACTGGACAGATGGTAGATGTATTTCCTAAGATATGGAACAATGGAAGAACATCAAATTTGAAGGGATAGATCATTGCTTTACTTTGCATATGTGTACTTTGGAGGTACCTTTGAGACCTCCAAGTAGAGATTCAAGTAGACAGTGGATATACTGGTCTGCAGTTCAGAGGAGTGGTCCATATTAGAGTTACAAATTTGTGAGTCTCTCTTCATGGGCCAATGGGTATGTGAAGCCATCCCTATGGAGAGAGTACAGAGTGAGAGGAGAAAAAGGAACTAGGTATGGGCCTTGAAGGACTTTAACCTTTGATCACCTAGACTAGGGGTTGGCAAACCTTTTCTGTCAAGGGCCAGATAACAAATGTTTTAGGCTTTGTAGGCCATACAGTCTCTGTCGTTGCTACTCAACTTTGTTGTTGTAGCACAAAAACAGCATAGACGATTCATAAACAAATAAACAAATGTGGTGGCTCTTTTCCAACAAAATTTTACTTGCGGACTCTGAAATTTGAATTTTAATGTGTTATTCTTCTTTCTATTTTTCCCCAACCATTTAAAAATGTAAGAATCATTCTAAGCTTGAAGGCTGTACAAAAACCTGGGTCAGAAAGATACAGCCCATGGGCCAAATCTGGGCCCCCATTTGTTTAATAAAGTTTCATGAGAACACTGTCATGCTTACTCATTTATGTATTGCCTTTTGTGCTACAAGGGCAGAGTTGAGTAGTTGTGAAAGTATTATATTTACTATCTGGCCCTTTGAAGAAAAAGTTTGCTGAATTCTGATCTAGACTCTAGAAAAGGAGGGATGGAGGGTGAACCTACAAAGAAGCCTAATATGTATTGATAAATAACTAGATAATGGTGTTAAAAGAGGTTGCAGAGTCTCTCGTATGCAAATCAGATAGTCAAGAAGCAGTCACAACAGAATGGGGGATGGAAAATTTAATTTTGTCAGGATGCAAAACTCCATACATCTAAATCAGATGGCTAAAAAGTTGAAGAAAGTTGCCATCAAAACTGGTAGAAAGTTGAAAGATGCCTAGGGCATGTGTATCATATTTCCTATAAAAATTAAGTCCCAGCTGAAAGATATAGGCTTAGGATTATGGCTGACATAGCAAGCATAATTTGGGTATCAGGCTAGCTTGTTCCCTTTAAGGTGAGTTCAAAGCCCCTGTAAATAACTTCAGGTACCAATGACAATTTGAAATTTCTGCCCGATTTCACTGGGTCAAGTGGAAAATAACTTTGTCAAATTTATGAACTAAGTAACTATTTGTTAAAGGTTGAGTAGAAATAATTACTCTTGACACAAAAATTATTAGATTTCTGAGTGAATATTCTAAAGGTTTAAGTTCTGTTTGAAGGCAGAATTGGTTTTAAAATTTGTAATTTTAATATATTGAATGCTAATTTCAATTTCAACACAGGTAGCTCTGAGTACTCCTTGACATCAAAACATCAAAACATCAAAACATTTCCTTGACATGATCAAAACATCATTCACTCATCTAACGAACTTATTGAGCACCTATCATGTTATCAGTTGCTATTCTAGATGATATAGTTGTAAGCAAAACACAGTCTTAGCTCTCAAAAAAAATCTATATTCTGGCAGAAGACAACTGATAGTAGACAAAAAGATATATGTTAGGTGGTAACTGTCATAAAGAAAAATGTTACTTAAAATCTCAAGTGAGAATGCAGAAAAAATGGCAAGAGTGCTGCTCCCCTCACAATAAGGAAAAGCTGAGTAACGTACATCCTCACTTTTCTTCAGTCCAGCAAAGAGCTATGGTCTCAGGGCAATCAAGTGGCCTGAAATCTAAGATTAGATGGGCACCCTGAAAAAGAGATGGAACAAAGACACTGGCTCACCTGTGGCAGAATGTGGAAGGAAGAGATGGCGAGTGCCACACAAGCATTTAAGAAGAAATCAGCTAAAAAGTTTAATAAATTGCTAAAGGCCAAGTGTGGGCTAGAGCAGTGGTCCCCAACCTTTTGGGTACCAGGGACTGGTGCTCCTATGAGACTCTAATGCCTGATGATCTGAAATGGAGCTGAGGTGGTGATGCTAGTGCTGGAGAGTGGCTGCAAATACAGTGAAGCTTCACTGGCTCTCACTCGCCTGCTGCTCACCTCCTGCTGTGCAGTCCTGTTACTAACAGACCGTGGACCAGTACTAGTCCATGGCCCTGGGGCTTGGGGACCCCTATACTCTTAACTCACTAGAGTAAGAGTATAAAACTCCTGAGAGCTGCAGACACAAGGGGAATTCACAATTACTTGTGTGTGAAAGACTGGACTTGGGGAGGGAAACCTGAGAAAGCCTTCCTCCAGGTGTAGGCCTGGTGGAGAGAAGGTGCCACTGCAGAAAAGGTAAGAATCCTTGCCAACCGTTCTCTCCAGTGAACAAAAAGCTTAAGTTGCTGAGGAAGGTCAGCCAACCCTTTTGGGCCTAGGGCCTGGCATTGCGGGGGTGGGAGGGGACAGGTAGGGAAAAAATTAAAACCTGCTACTCCTGGGGTAGGGGCAGGAAACCACCCAGGCCCCACTATATCAGAGGTCTTCTACTCTTCGGAGAGGGGTAGGATCACTGAGAATGGCCCATTCTTGAGACACAGGAACCCAGGACCTACTTAAGACTAGGGTTGGACCCCCGCCACCAGACTAGCCAGCACTAAGTAATAGGCAAAAACAGTCTACTGCTGGGGAAGAAGCAAGAATGTGGAGATAAAATCCCCTCAGGTGTAGGAACCCAGGGAAGGTTGCAAGCTGAAGATAGAGCAGGAACACTGAGAAAAATGCTCTGGCACCCCAGCAAGAACCAACTATATGCTGTTTCAAAGAGATGTACTTTAAATATAAACCTATAAATAGGTTGAAATTAAAAGAACAGAAAGAGATATACCATGCCAATAGTAAGGGGAGAATGCTGTGTATCTACATAAAATCAGACAAAATAGACAAGGAGCATTAGAGGCAAAGGGTGATAGTCATAATAATAAAAGGATCAACACATCAGGTAGATATAAAAATTCTAAATGTATGTGTACCTGATAGTAGAACTTCAAAATATATGCAGCAAAAACTGACAAAACTAAAGGGAGAAAAAAACAAATCCACAATCATGACTGGAGATTTTAACACACAGCTTTCAATAACTGATAGAACAAATAGACAAAACAACAGTACCAAAAAGATTTGAGTGACACTACCAATCACACCTTAACTTAATTGATATTTTAGAACATTACCCCCCAAAATTGCAGAATACAAATTGTTTCCTAAATGCGCATGGAATGTTCATGAAGATAGAATATAGGGTGAACCAAAAACAAGTTTAAACAGATTTCAGAAGAATGAAATCCTACAGATTATGTTATCTGATCACAAAGGAATTAAATTAGAAATCATCAAATATAAGACATTCAAAGAGCCCCTAAATATGGAAATTAACTTACTTCTAAATGACCCATGGGTCAAAGAAGAAATCACAACAAAAATTTAAAATATTTTAATTGAATGAAAATAAAAACACAAATCACAATTTGTAGGACGCAGCTGAAACAGTGCTCAGAAAGAAATTTAGTTTTATATGTTTATGTTAAAAAGAAAAAAGGTCTAAATCAATATCAAAAATTAAACTACTTGGGAAACTAAAAAAAGAGGAGTAAATTAAACTCATTGTGAGTGGAAGGACACAAAGTTTTGAGCAGAAATCAATGAAATGGAAAAGAGACAAATAACAGAGAAATCCCGCAAAACCAGCAGCTAGTTTAATAACAAAAATTCAATGAAAGAGATAACTTCTAACTATTTTGGATCAATAAAATAAAAGACACAAATTACCAATTTCAAGAATGAAAGACGGATCCATCATACATCTACAGTCTACTGACTTCCTACAATGGTGAGAAGACCATTCAATGGGGAAAAAATAGTCTTTTCAATAAATGGTGTGGAGAAAACTAGAGATCCAGATACAAAAGAATGAAGTTGGACCCCTATTTCACACCATATATAAAGATTAACTCAAAATGGACCAAAAACCTAAATGTCAGAGCTAAAATTATAAAACTCTTAGAAGAAACACTTGGGGGAGTTTAGCCATACCAACTGCTTGCCTCAGAAGGAATGTAAACAGAGTACCTTAAAAGCTGCCTGCATTTCAGACTTGGGTAGGGCTCAATTACTGGGGTTTATAGAAGTTATCCCCATTAATATTGGAAAAATATTAACATAAAACAGTAAAAAAACATGTTAAGTCTGTCTCATGGGCTTTACATCTGCTGTTCCCTTAGGCTAGAATATTTTTCACTTCATTCTACCCTTAGTCTTCACCTCACTTAACTCACTGATTCAGATCTCAGCTTAAATACCACTTTCTTGAGAACCTTCCCTGATCTCAAATATTAGATTAGACACCCCCCATCAGATACTTCATAGCACTACAAATTTCTTCAAAACACTAAATATGCTTATATTGTGACTATTTGTTGGTATCAGTCTTCCCCTGTAGGTGACAAGCCCCATAAGGGTAGAGGCCCAATCTTTCTTTGCATGGCTGTATACCCAGTGCCTAGCACAGAGCCTGGCACATGGTAAGGGCTAAATAAATACCAGTGACTGAATGGACAGACTCCTGCCTTTGCTTATACTCCCTCCACTTCCACCATCCTGGTAATTCCTGAGCCCCCATACCTGTAATGCTGGGAATTGGAGGGTTGGCCTTTAGGCCAGAGCAGCTGGCATCCCACCCTCCCATCTGTGCCCTTGAGGAAATAAGTAGAAAAGCAGAGAGTCACCTTGTTGTAGGCCAGGCTAAGGTACCTCAGCTCTGGGAAGGGTGGGGCCAGTGTCTGGTTCCTGGCCTTCAGTGACTTCACAGGAAGAATCTCGAATGTGGGAGGAAGTGCACATACCTTGGTTGTCTTAGAAGGAAAAAAAAAGTCAAAGCTAAAGAGCCTTGATGAGAAAGGAGCTGAATGCTGCCACAGGCCAACAGACCTTTCCTATGGCATGTGGTGGAAAGAATGACCATCGTAAGAGATTTCTGGCTCCAAGTTTTCTGAGGTCACATGGTGAGCTAATTCTCTGGCATCCAAAGTTCCAGTTTCAAGTTCTCTGAGGCCAAAGGATAATACTGCCCCCACCTCCCACCTCTGTCTTACAGCAGCTTATCCTAAACTGGATCCTCACTTCTATATAGTTGGGCTAAAATTTCTCCAGAGGGCAAAGAGATCGGTGCTTGCATCATTAAGGGGCCTTTTTATAGTGGAAAGATGGACAGCAGGAGTGACCTGAGCCTTGAACACCTGGTCTGATGGGCTATCTCACGTCCTACAGTGGAGGCCCTTCATTTCATGAGGAAACAACAGCTAAGGCCTGAATGACTTCAGGCAGGCCTGAATGTGTCACAGTGCATCTGGGTCACTTACAGGGTCATGGCCTCTCAGCACAACCCAACTTGTCCCAGGGTCAACATGTTTGATCAAGCAAAAAATGTAAATTTCTGGATTAACCATGCCTAACTCAGTTCACTCACTGATTCCTTGAGTTAGATGGAACCAAAGGAAATTACAAGGTAAGTAATAGGCTACTGTCCCAAGCTCCATTAACTGACTGATGTATAGTTGTACTTCTTATTGTAAATGAATAAATCAAATTTTCGTTAGTTCATCAATCTTTGAGAGTTTGGGTAGCGAGCACCTACCTTGAGAGAAAAACCAGTTTTCTGGGTTGACAAAAATAAAATGACTAAACCAGTGACACCGAGGATTAGATCCCAGATAATGGTGTATTTGGCAAGGATCACTCGCTTTTTGAGGGCTCGCATTTGAGGAGTTCATGGAATTCATCCTAGTGGCAGCCTTACTTCAGCTTCATCACTTGAGGCAACGACCTCGACCTACTGAGTCACATCTGAGCACAGTGAAAGCCAGCCTGCGGGCTGTGTGAGGGCAGGGACCTGTCTGTCTAGTCCACCACTGCATCTCCACAGGCCAGCACAGCACCCGGCATGTGGTAGCTACTTGGTAAATATTGTTCAATGAATATATATGTATGTCTCTCATGGCTCCATTAGCTTATTTTTGTTTATTAAAATTAATGTTCTAACTCAAGGACACAAATATAAAACAGGCAGTTCCTACCTCTGATGTTGAAAATCCAGGGTAAGATGAGAACACAACTTCTGAAACAAAAGAGAAACAGAATAAAGGTTAGTGAGAGCACGGATTGACTCCCCTGCCCCCACGCAGAGAGGCCAGGGTCTGGGTCTGCCACCCACTGTGTACAACAGGGAGTCCTCACTGGTCCTCAGCTGCAGTGCTATCTGGGAAGAGGAGCTGGCTGTGACATCTGTCCTTTGCACTTAGAATAACATCCAAACTCCTCGGCCAGGCCTCTGAGGTCCTGCCTGACCTGGCCTACTTTTCCAATCTTATCTCACACTCCCCTGTGCCCCTCGCTCATTGTATTTCATACACACAAAATCAAAACCACATTTTGATTTTGCAACATGCAAGTTCTTTTCTAGCCTCAGACCTACTAGGCAGTTAGTATTGATCAGAAGGCAAACCAACTGTCTTAACAGTGAGAAATGTATATAAAACATACTCTGTCTGGAGATTTAAAAATAATATTTGTTATATTAGTTGAAATAGAATGTGTTAAGACACTGAATTCAGGAGAAAGACTAAGAATAACCAGCAGCATAGTAGAAAGCAAGAGGCTACGGAGTGATTTCTTTTTTGGGACCATCGGAATGAGACGAGCCAATACATAGCTGAGTTCAACCTAATAAAGCATCTGCTGGGACTAGATCCTGTGCAGGCACCACTCACCTTTGCTCTGGCTAATGAGACACCTCCACATGCTAATAATATTATTATGCTGAGAAAGGTTATGGGAAAATGAAGTAAACAATAATATGGGTGGAACACCACATGGCATAAATAACTTCTCCTGTGACAAGGGGCTAGAAAGGTTTGTGCAAAGAACAAAGTAGGAGTTAGCATGAGGATGGGCCATGGTTGCAAGTGTGGGCACTGAGAAGTAAGCCTCTGGGGAGACAGAGAGCCCCCACATTTAGAAAGATGAGCTGCAGCATAGCATACTCTGCCTGAAACCATGTCCTATCCTTTCCCCACAATCTCAAGAAGCAGCCCCAGAAATCAGAACCTACATTGTAAGGTTCTGACTGGGGATTGTTCGACAAAAAGATGGAAAATTAAGAATCTCCTAATATTTGAGTAAAAATTAACACTATGAACAAAGTCATGAAATATGACAAACAGAAGAATTAGCATCTGAAAAAAAAAAAACCATGACAGAGTTAACAAAAAGAATAAAAAATTTTAAATAGAATAATTAGTATCCTCAGAGGAATTCGAAGGGCTATTTCATTCCTAAAACAAAAGGAGGTTATAGTGGAAGAGAAGCTATTAACAATTTTGTGAATTTAAAATATCATAATCAAATAAACGAATAAATGTGCTAAATGAATGAACAGACTCAGTTGAAGAGCTAATTCATAAAAGGAAAGACTAAGCTGAGAGACTATCTCAGAATGCAATGCAAAAAGGCAAAGGAATATAAAGTACAAGAGAAAAGAGGAATAGAAGGTAGATCCAGAGCTTTCAGCATCTGATAGAATTTCAGATGGAGACAACAAAGAAAATGGAAAGGGGAAAATAAAGAAAATATCTTCAAGATGAAGAAAATCACATCTTTGATCAAAAGAATACTTAAAGTACCTAATAGAATAAGCAAAAAGAGTTGCATGTGTAGATGCATCTCAGTAAAATTTCAAAAGAATTAAAGGGATATCTTAAGAGAGTCAAGAGAGCAAAAATAGGTTTTCTACAAAGAGATGAGAATCAGATTGGCATCGGACTACTCATTGGCAACAATGGATCTAGAGGGCAATGGAGTAATATCGTCAAAGCAATGAAGAAAAATGATTTTAAAGCTAGAATTTTCTATTCAACCAAACTATCATTCAAGTATGATAACAAAATAAAGGTGATCTGGGATATTTTAGGGACTCAGAAAATCTATTACATATAAACCCTCTTTGAAAGACTCATTCAAACAGCAAAATGAAAAGCAACACAGAATAGGAAACTATCTTTCTGTGAGAAAGGGAGATACTTCTTAAATAAGAACCAAAAGGCATAAACCATAAGGTAAAATTCGATAGACTGGTTGTTATGGGCTCAATTGTGTCCTCCCCCGCAAATTCATATGTTGAAGCTCTAACCCCCAGGACCTCAGAATATGACTATATTTGGAGACAGAGCTTTTAAAGACGTAATTAAGGTTAGATGAGGTAACCACGATAGGCTCTGATCCAGTATGAACAGTTTTCCTATAAAAAAAGGTGATTAGGACACAGAAAACACAGAGGGACAACCATGTAAGGCCATAGGAAGAAGGTGGCCATCTATAAGCCAAGGAGAGAGGCCTCAGAGAAACTAAACCTGCCAACACCTTGATCTTGGACTTCTAACCTTCAGAACTCTGAGAAAATAAAGGTCTGTTCTTTAAGCCACAATTCATGTTGTTCAAGGATCAGCTATACATGAATTTCAAATCAGGCAAAACTTATCTACGGTGATAGTCATCACAATGGTGGTTATTCTTAGAGGAGGTACTAACTGGGAGGGTACCACAGAGGATGCTGGAAATGTTCTATCTTGGTGGTTAAGTGTGTGTGTGTGTGTGTGTGTGTGTGTGTGTATATATATATGTATATACATACATATATATATATATATATATATATAAATTCAAGCTCTACACCACATTTCTATATTTTTTTAATTTCTCAATTTAAAATAAATGCTTAAAAAAAAACCCAGTGTGGTAGCATAGTAATAGATAACCAAATCAGTGGAGCAGAATATATAATCCAGAAATATACTCATTTATTAAAGGGATTTTGATTTATGATAAAGGTGACATTTCTTTCCTTTTCTGCCTCTGAATGTTGCCAACTGGCTGTGATTCTTGGCACTGTGGTGGCCATCTTGAGACCTCAGTGGGAACCAGCCTACAAGGATAGACGGGCGGGCCAAGGATGGCAGAAAAGAGGATGGGAAGAACCTGAGTCCCTTGAGAACATCAATGCACCTCAGAATTAACCATCTCTGGAAAAGGAAAGCCTTACCTCTGAGTTTCTTATTACTTGAGATTTTTAAAATCAACTTTTAATTGGATTTTAGAAGTATCTTAACAGAACCAGTTAGGAAACCACTGAAATAATTCATGTGAGACTTCTACCTTCCCAGGCCCAGCAGCTTCAGTGCAGCAGCTAACCAGGGAGCCACAGACTTTCAGAATAAACTCTCGGAAGTTTACTCCTACCGTGGGGCTAGAGTCTCTGGAACAAGGGTCATCACTCACCTGTCCGGTCCACATCCTTTTTCATGGGCAGTACGGTATAATCCGGTTGCTCATTTGAGTTTTCAAACATCCACGACTTAGGCTGCAGCATGGATTGGGACCCTTTGCGAGGACTCTCCCTGCCTCCAACCCAATCCCCCGACCCGTCTCTGAGCTGAACTTGCTGCAGGTATGGGATCCGGAAAATCTTGTTTTGGTCCAGGCTTAACTTCTTCAGTCTTCAGTTAAGGAAAGTGAATACAGAATGACAGCAATAATTATACTTCAGAGACATTTACCAAGCAACTTTAAGAAGGTACATGGAATCAGTCCTGGACACTTACTCCTCTTGTGTGACCTTAAGCCAGTGACTTACTCTTTCTGGGCTTCAATATCCCCATCTCTAAATTGGGACTCATATTTATTAACTTTTCAAGGTTCTTGTGAAGATTAAATGAGACAATGTAAATGGCCTGGCGCAAAGCGGTGGTCAGTAAATGGTAGCTAAATCCAGAGTAAATTTTTCAGGGATCTAAAGCTTAACCATTTAAGTGACAGCATAATTATTAGGTCAACCAAATAGCAGTTAAACTTATCTTTCTGGTTCTTTTTTTTTCCTGTCTCCTCCCCCAAGGTCAGGATCCTGTCTCCTCCTATCCTCCTTTCTCTTTGCTGCTTCTAATCCAGTCACATAATCAGAAATGTTCTTACTGATGCCCCACTTTTATGGCTGAGTTAAAGCTCAAGAGGGGAGAAATGACTTACCCATGGCCACAAAGCAGAGAAAAGTGGTGGAGCTGGAATTTACACCCAAGCCTTTTGGCTTTCAGAGAAGCACTCAAGGTGTGAACAAGGCTGGGGGTTATAGAGGGCCCTGCAGAGAGAGGCTTGTGGCTTTACCTCCTGAGCCCGGCCAGGCTGGCAAAGCAATTGGGGTTGGAAAGTTTGTTGTCATCCAGCATCAGTGTCTCCAGTGCTGGGAACCTCAGGATGTACCTCTTGCTTGTCAGCGATGTTGCAGATGCCTCCCTGTGAGTACAAAGATAATGTGCAAGGGCGGGGGCTAAGCTCCACCATTCCCAGGAAGAAATGGAGGATAAGGAATCAATCAAGAAGTCTAACCAGCTTGGGAGCTTCTCTAGTGCCCAAGAGAAGTTCTTGCAGATAGGGACCAGAAGGGGTCCCTGAATGACCCCTTCCCCAACCACACTCACACATGCAGTCTTCTGTGTGGAGAAAGGTTATACATATTCACTGATGGACTCAGCGAGACTGGGCTGGGGCAGGATGCAGTGGGCATTAGCAGTGCTCATAGAAAACTCTGCAGTGAATGAGGCATGACTGAGTTGGGGGGAAGCATTCTATAGGAAGAATACTGTACATTTTTGAGTCACAGCAGACACTGGGTGTGCTGTATCATCCCAGGGATTGGTAACCATAGGAACACCAGGAGACAATGCCCTTGGCATGGACCACAGCTTTGCCACTGAGTGGAGGAAGAAAAGTTGGCTGCAGTGAGGCTCTTCTCTGAAGTGACTTCATAAAATGCACACATCAGTAAAGAATTGAGAAATCTCTTTTTAAACTCAAACTTTGAGGATTCCCAGAAACACCCAAGAGTAGGATTTAACAGGCTGAGGTCCTGTGTACACTGGTAGGGCAGGAAGTCGTGGCATTTTAGGTAACTCCATTAACGTGACCTCATTTTTGCCCCTAGGTGGATGAGGCCTAGGTAATTCTTTTTAAGTACACAAAGGCAAATAACTTAAATTATGTTTTCATTCCTCCTTCCAATTCCATCCCCTCCGTACCTTCAAATAAACACACACATAGATATCCAGTCACAAATACATCTAGATACATATTAACTGCAAACAAGAGGAAAGGAAAGAAACATTTCCTCAAAGCCTTCTAAATTACTGGCATTGTGTTAGGTGTTTTGTATATGTCATCTCAGAACAGCACTGAGGAGGACAGGTGTTATCTCTTTTTCAGATGAGGAAACTCAAACTCAGAGTGACTTGCCTGAAGTCTCATAGCTAGACAGTCGTAGAGCTCAAACTTGACTCAAAACCCCAGGCCCTTTTCTGCAGCTCCCACCTCTCACATCACATCTTCAAGCCCCATGTGTATTAAAGGGTTGGGTAAAGAGATGGAAGAGTAACTGTTACCTGGGCCAGAGAGAGCTTGATGAAGATAGGCAGTGAGTTCAAAAGTCGAAAAGGACTGTAACAGTACATCTAAAGTCAGGAATATTTGAAAGATGAATTTAGACAGGGAATATAGTCATTCATTCATCCAATCATACTTATGAATTTAACAGACATTTATGAAGCTAGGTACTGGGAATACAAGGAGAAAAAGAACAAACCCCTCCCCATAAAGTGCTTACAGTCTTGTGGAGGAGGTAGACACACTGCACATAGTGGGACAAATGCTGTAACAGAGGCAGGTGCAAAGCTTGGTGGGAGTCACACACTCTGGTGGGGAAGACCCAGGGAAGGCGAAGTTTAAGCTAAACCATGAAGAATGGAGAGGGAATTTACTGTGCTCTTAACCACAATGAGAGAAGGAAAGGAAAAAGGAGAAAAATTATTTCATTGTGACTGAAGCTGTGCTATATTTAGAAGCTCTGGGCAATCATGTTTCCCATCATGGGGCCCAGCGAGACATGGGCAGCTTACCTGCAAAGAAAAATGAGGCAAGTCACAGAGAGGATCGGCTGTGAAAGCTGAGACAGAACTTCTGGGCTCTTCCATAATACTCAAGACCTACATTCAATATATCCCTAAGGCATGGCTATGAGATTCCCTAATATTCTTCTAGTAAATGTTCTCCTTTTTGTTACTCTAATACTGATGAACTTCTGTAGATTATAACCATGGCAGTTCTGACTAAAAAAGGCAAAGGTCAGATATGGTTTCAGAAAGAGCCCTCTCCGTGTGTGTGTGGAGGGGGGAACAGGCTTGACGTCTAAAGACTAGAGACACTCAACAGAGAAAGAAAGACACCTTTGTTCATAGTATTTCAAAGTCACAGATGACTCCCCTTCCTGAAAGGACCAGCTTTCATACACTGAATTTTTAATTTCTACCTGAGAGCAATTACAGGAGGGTGCACAGCAGCTATGTTGATTTATAATTAATTGGCCAATCTTTATTCTAGTGAAATACGAAACAACTAAGAAATAAGCCTTCAAAAAAATTCCTCCTATACTGATTCTGTCCTGTCTCTTGTGACAAGTTCCAGTGCTTTGCCTTTTAAAAGTTTCATCCTAATTATAACATAGAAAAGTTTTATTTTGTCTCCAGAACAAAAGTCTTAAAATAGGGAGCAGTCAATAGGTGAGCAGGAGGACAAGATGTGAGGTGTAAGAAGAAAGCCTCAGGCTCTCCTACTGAGCCCTTCCTGTGACAATTTTGAGAGGAAAGCTCTTTGAAGTGGCGGGAGTCTCAATAGTAGAGAGGCTGAAGTTTCCAGCTGTTCGGTGTTGCTATTTTTTTATGCCTTTTCTCGGCAAAAGGAATTAATACCATTTAAAATCTGATAGATTTATCTTGATTATGTTTTTAGAAGCTAAGAGTATGACCCCATGGTTGTATTCAGAAATGGAAAATCCATGTGTCATATTAGAAGAAGCATGGGAATGGGGATCAGGAGCCTTGGGCTCTGGTTTTGGGACTGCTGCTGCTTTGCTTGCTGAGTCAGTTCTAGCTGGTGTTGAGTGTCTCTGGGCTCGGTCAATAGGCCCAGGAACTATAAATAGTTCTTCTATCTATATGATGAAAGGGGATTTCTTTTACTTTACATTGTAAGACTTTGGCTAAAAATATTGTTCAACAGACTGAACCAGGGGCTGCAGCAAACAAGATGAAATTTAGTAAGCTCTAGTGTCTGTGCAAATGTCAGATCAGCCTCTGTGATAAGACAAAAACCCCACCATGCTAGACATAGGATGAAGGAGACATGGATTAACAGATTACTTGCATAAAAGAGGATTTAGGATGTGGCTGCTAAAAAGCTAGTGCTCTTTTAGGTGGTGTCAGGAAGACAGTGATTAGAAAAAAAGGAGGTAACAGTCCCCCTCTCCTCAGTGCTGGTCAAGCCTGAGAAATATGATTCCCCTCACTCGCCCAGACAGAATAGTGCAATCTATCCAGAAATGGAGAGGTGAATAGTTCAGAATAGATGAGGTATATTGTGAAAAAAATGGAAAAATGTCAAGAGGAGGATGGAGAAGTAGGCAGAGTCAGGTCATAAAAAGGCTTGTGATCAATGTTAATGGAGTTTATCTTTAGAACACTGGGGAGCTGCTGAAGGACTCTAAGCAAGGCGGTGGTAGAACCAGATGTGCATTTTAGAAACATCACTCTGATGGTAATGAGGATGGTAGAAGAGGTTAAGAAACTGGAGACTGAGACCAAACAGGGGGATAACAGAAATGGGCAAGTATGAGAAAAATTTAGGAAGTATAATTCACAGTATCTGGTGATTCAATGGACAGGTAGGTTGGGGAGGGAAGAATTCAGGTTGATGCCCAGGTTTCTAGCCTGGACAACTGCACAGTGGATGGAGAACAGTACCCACCTGGGGCCAGGGACACAGGAGGAGGAGATTTTGGCATGGGCATATGAGTGATAAGTTTGGTATAAGCAAGATATAAGGGTTTATAGCTCAGAAGATTAAAATTAAGGTAGAGAAGTGACTAAGACTTGGGAACGGTTGAGGCCACTAAGGAATATAAAGAGTAAGAAACACAGTGGGTTGAGAGGGCAACAGGGGACTGCCAACATTTAAGAGGCTGGCAGAAGAAGAAGGATCTATATTGAGTGTGTACAGATGAGTGGGAAGAAAATGACAGTAATATTCGTCTGGAGCCTCACAGCTTTCAAAGCACAATTATTTCAATTGATATTCTGATATAAATAGGAGTACATTTATTTTCCCTATCTTATATGTAAGAAAATAGAAGTATAGAGTGGTGGAGACTTGCTTTACTTTATGCAACAAGACTTTCCACTGAAAACAACTAGAATAATGAATAAAATATAAAATAAAAAAAAAAGTCTATCATTTAAAAACATTTAGGAGATGTGAAGAGAGTAAGGAAGTAGTATGCCAATATCTAAAAATCCAGAGATAGAAACTAAGCACAAGAAGCCATTTTTGCCACAAGGACATTTGCTGATCTGGTTGAAATAGAAGGAGGGGCATATAATTGGAGACCCCCTTCCTGAATCTAGGATCCTAAAAAGATACACCCCCAGGAGAAAATGAACCAGAATGACACCCATTCCCCTTATCCCACAGCCAGGCAAAGAGTGCCTTAGACTGAACAGAGAAGGGGAATGGGGAGGGCAGACTGGTCTTCTCACAAAACCGTAGTACAAATTTATATCATCAGAGTGATTCAGAAAATATCCAGCTAGTTTAGTTTAATTTAAAAAGGTTCCATACTGAGTGCCCCTAGGCACCTGGCCAAAATAAATGGAAAGGTTTATGGTACTGCAGACTAAATACTGTGGCCAACTCTCCCCTGAGTATAAATTAGAAAATCCAGACAAAATACATATATCAAAAACAATCTTCTCTGAGACATCTGGGAACTAACCAGCTGTGAAAATTTAGGGGTAGGGGGCTGAGATTTGGAAAAAGAAATGCAAAGGAAAAAGAAATGCAATATTTGGGGCCACTTTTTCCCTAGGGCTGTGTGCTGACTCTAGAAGTAGCAGAGAAAGCCTCATAACCAAAACAAAGGGTCTAGGAATTAATAAACAAAAATGAGAGCAGCTCCTCTTACAATTATACCTAACAATCTACTTGCAACATTTTTGCTTCTCATTCCTGCAACTTTGAGCTCTACTGAGTTAGAGGTCTTTGTTTCCTAAGAAGCAATTCTTTTACAGGGGACAGAAGAATAGTTTCACTTAACTGGAAGTTGAGTTTGCTACTGGCCAATTGGGTTCCTCATCCCACTGAACCAATAGGCAGGAAAAAAAGGGTATAGTATATTGGCTAGATGATTGATACTGATTATCAAAAGTAGATATGACCAATCACAGGCAGGGAATGTGACTAGCCAGAAACCTGTGTCTCTCCTAAGAGCACAGAGGAATGTGGGACACCTGTCTGAGGCCTCCCCATCCTTCAGGGCCCTGCTTTCACAGGTTCCTTTTCTGGGAGCTTCAGCAGGTGGCGTTCTCCCTGCTTTGAGCACTCACACCCTGTCTTTATGGAACTTCTGAGCTGCTTTGGACTATTTCCTTGGATACTTGTATCCAGACAAAGGTTCAAGAGGGAACTCATGGGATTGACTCTGGGATGTAGAACTTACTGCTCTGCGACAGCCAAATTCGGTGGCAGGGAGGTGAGCCCATTGCCTGTGAGAAGCAGGACTCGGAGGTGTGGCAGAATCCCCAGATCACGGATGGCCTCCCCAGTCAGGCGGTTGAAGGAAAGGTCCAGAAACTATGATGTGGAGATAAAAGGTGGGGTAATAGAATCACTGTGTGTGGCAATGATGTTCATGCATGAGGTAGGAGCTAGCTACTTTTATTTTTAACCTTCTGGGTTGGGGCTAGTGGGGTCGGAGGGCGTCACACAGAGGCTAAAACCCTACTGACTCTCTGGATTAACATTTAAGGTCTATTAGGGTCAGTTCCCAATCTATTTGCCAGCCTTACCTCCCACTGCAAACCACTATTTATCCTTTGGTGCTGGCCATGATGACTCCACCCCATTCCTGGTCTTGCCCTACCTACAGATCTTTGCTTGAGCTTTTCACTCCACCAGGAATGACCTTTCTCCATGTATCTCAATCTAAGCCCCAAAAGACCAGCTCAAAAGCTGCTTCCTTATAAAACTTATCCTAACTCTGCAGCCAGATGGAATCTCTTCCTCCTCTGACTTTGAGTGCTTTATTTAGACTGCTCTGGGGGTCTTTCTCAGTTAGTTGGACAGGTATCTGTAATAGCCAAATATATGTCTGAGGAATAGGAATACTGGCACATGGATGTGCCTCACAGAGTCTCTCTCCCTCCCTCCTTCCTTCCTGTTCCCCTGTCCCCCACCACAGCCCACCCCCCACCCCCCCACTGGCAACACCAGGTTAAGTGAGGACTGTGTGAGAAATAGCTGACCACTGATGTCTGCAGATTAAATAATTTAAGTTAACAAGTCTCTGGGGTCAACCCCAAGGTTCATGACATGCAGACATTCTGCTGAGGTTTGAATCGAAAACATTGCCACTATAAGGCCAACACGTGGGGGAGAGTCCATTATTTGGTGAGTGTGCCTGCACACCTTGCTCCAGCTCTGTTGTTCTCTACTTTCCAAGTACTCAGATTCTCAGATAGTTACAAAAGCTCTGTTTCTTTTTGAAAAGTAGTACTAAAGTTTTCATGGAAGTTGGAGAGGTGAATAACCTGAAGTATGAGAACATGCATAGAAAATCCATGACTATGGGAAATTTAATTTAGGAGAAAGCCAAGATTGCAAACAGATTTTTCTGTATTTTCTAACCTGTGGTTTGGAGAACAGCTGTGGGTGCTGCAGAACTCATAGGAGCCCTGTTTTATTTCACACTCACCTCTGGGCCTATGGACTCGGTCTATAGCCTGCCTCATCCAAGCCTGCTGGAACCAATCTGGCTCACTTAGATCAGGATGAGTCTCTGAAATCAGTCCACAATGCTGCTAGTTTAGCTGGTCCAATCTGTTGTGCCCAGCACTTAGCCTGCATGGCTCCCAAACCCCAACTGGATCCAGATCTCCCCTCAAACTCTTCCTTCCTATAATACTGTTTAAACTCACTTTTCTGTATAGACTTCTTTGGCATTTATTTTCCAGGACCTCACAGCACAGCCATAGGTATAATATATCCTCATCTATTTGCCGCTGCCACCACCACCACCACCAACTCTACCACCTTTTCCAGAAGACTGCCCTGAAGCAACGGTCTGGCTGTAAAGGCCCAGACAGCCCCTTCCCAACAGTTATGAGCAGCAGAGAGAGACCTCGACATCTATTCCTTCCAAGGAAACAGGTGGGCACCAAAAACTCCCTACCTCCAACTTACTTCCAAGAACTTAAAGTCTCCATATTCCACGTAGACTGTTTTGATGCCATTAAATGCGAGTTCCAGTTCCTTTAAGGCTGGAAACGTGTGAAATGCCTCTGTAGGGGGAGAAGAAAGAGAGAATCTGCAGCTTGTGAAAGACTTGAGAAAGATATTAAGTGGTCATTTAATGGGTTCCCAATGGGTTAGGCCAGGCACTGTGTAAGGTGTTTTACATACATGGCTTCTAAATTTCTAACAACCCTGAAAAATAGGAATTGCTACTTCCATTCTGGTGCTGAGGAATCTCAAGTTCGGCTAGGCTAAGTGATTTGCTAGAAATGGAATTGCTTGTAAGTGAAAGGGCAAAAAATTGAATCTAAGTCTAATACCAAAGCCTATCTAAAAATTTATAATAAAGTGTAACAATATAATAAAAATAACTTCTGATTATAAAAGTGAAACATGCCCCCAAGTTTTTTAAAAACCACAAAAATAATAGTTCCCTTTGATCTCAAGACCCAGAGATAACTATGGCAAGTTTCACGTATATACTCCAGACTTTTTCTCATGCATATACTGAAACATACATGCTTTTTACAAAAATCAAATCATACCATCCACATTATACTGTGACTTGTTTTCGCTAACAATATGACTTAAAGATTGTTCCATGTCAAACATATAGATCTGCATAATGTCTGAATTACGTTCTATAATACATACTCTGGTTTATTGAACCATTTCCTTATTGATAGCTTTTAGTCTCTCTGGATAAAGGTAAGAACACTTTTCCCCTTCTGCATGAGAACTGGATCTTGGGTTAACTTTCTAGCCCTGTTCCCCTGGTAACCTGGAACAAAAGGTATGGTAACTATGTTACTAAGCAATATTGCTGTGGTAAAAATGACCTGAGATTAGTAAACTACACCTGGACTAGAAGAAACTATAACTGAACAATAGACATCTGAAGGAGGCACTGTAACCTTGGGCTTCCCTGTGTGTGGTGACTCTTATAATTGGACAGGTCCTTTGCTGGAACTCTAGGAGCTATGTCTACGGAGTGGTACAATGGCTCTTTGCTCCTGTGGGGAATGAGGTTTCTAAGCCAGAGTGGCTCCTGCATCTACCCAATGAGAATCTCGCTGTCTTGGACCTGAGCTGGGAGCCACAGAGAATGATGCATGGACAGCTGCATGGACTGCTACACTAACTGCTACGAGGACTTCACTAAAGATGAACTGCTGATGCTGTGTGGCTGGCATACTGTGTGGAATTGCTTGGAGCCTTCTAAGTGAACCTGGTGTCAAGTATGGCCTGTGGAGATCTTGTTAATCAAAATGTGCAGTAGAGCCTAATAAAAAGACTGCTTCGTAGATATTTCAGGATGTTTCCAATGAATATCCTTGTACGAGTGTGTTTCTGTACAATAAATTCCTGGAAGTGGAGTAACTAGATTAAAGGCAATGACTATTTTAAAAGACACTGTCAAATTGCCTTCCGAAGGTGTTGCTTTAATTTATTACATTTCCGTCAGTTGAATATGAGAGTAGTATCCATTTCCCTACCAATACCAATTGTCATCACTCCTCATTTGGGCCAATATTTGATAGGCAGAAAATACTATATTAATGTTGTTTTAATTATTAGTGAGGTTGAGCATCTTTTCAAATGCCTGATGGCCTTTGTATTTCAAGCCTATGTTCCTGACAGACTACACTGTTTCCTCAAGGGCAGGGACTTCGTCCCATGCTTCTTTAATAAAAACCCTCAAACTCAATGCATTCAAACTAAACTTATCTCATTTCTCCCCAAACCTGCCTCTCCTCTCAGCGAATCCCGTTGGTGGTTGGTTCTTCCCTTTCTCTATATGCCCACAAGGTACCAAGTCCTGCTATTTCTACCTCCTCCTAAATTTCTTTTATTCCCTTTCACTCCTACTGCCATAACCCTGATTCAGGCCTCATCTTCCCTCTCCTGGAAAAATAAAACCATCTCCCAGATTTCCTGGTCTCCATCTTCTTTTTTCTCTTATAATCTACCCTCTTCAGAGCCAACACTGAGCCTCTGTATTTAAAAGCTTTCCAAGTCTCTCTTTGCCTGCAGAATAAAGTCCCTGTCACTCAGGGCCCTTGATAATCTAGTCCCTGCCAAACTTTCTAGTCTCCATTCTCTACTACCTGCATCCCTTGCAAGCATACAAAACTTCTTCAGCGATCCTGATCAGGCACTGCCGTTCCGCATCTGCTCTGTCAACCTGAAATGCCTCCTTGCCTTCTAATTCCTAAGTCTCTTATTCATTTTTTAGGTCTCAGCTTAGGTGCTCCTCTTCTCAGAAGTTTCTCCTGACCCTCTGGTCCAAGTTGATGTTCCACTTATACGCTTGCATAGCATTTTCTGATTTCCTCAATCATCGCACTTAATGTATTCTGCTATAATTCTGTCAGAGCCGTCTCTCCCACCAAACTATGACTCACCAGAACAGGAACTAGATGCATTCATTTCTAGAAGCCAAGCATTCACATAGTCCTGACACCCAGCAGGGGTCGCTGTAGATTTGCTGAATAAACAAGAAGGCTTCGTGCTCTAATAGGAACTCTTATGGCTTAAAAACATCTTTATATACCTATCTCATCTGACCTACCAGGCATCCTGCCTTGAAGAAGAATAAAGGACGGGAATTATCTCCATTTACAGATAGAGTAGCAGCAGCTCACAGAGAAATGTTCTAAATAGATGATGCCCACTCTGGGCTGGAATCCAGGTCTGTGTGTTCTCCAGCACCTAGCTTATTGCACTCCAACAGAGATGTGTGGCCAGTCGTGCATGGACTGACAGGCAAGTTCTAACATGAGTGACTAGCTATGCCACTCAAGAGGCAGAAGATGGTTTCTAGGAAGAAAATACTCACCTAGAGGCAGTAGGTTTTCTGAGGCATTGATGTAAATCACGGAATGAAAATGCTTGAAGTCCTTTTCCTTAGCCTGTGAGAAGGCATTTCAAAAAATGTTCAGAAAAGTATAGTAAATGATACTCTGAAGACCTGGGTAACCACCTTCTAGCTTTAAAAAGTCTGAGTGTTTTGCTGTCTTTGCTTCAAATTTCTTTAAAAAACAAAACATTTCAGAGAGTTGACCGCCCCCATATCCTTCTCTAATCACATTCTCCTCCCTCTCTCCCATAGATAAGAGCTATCCTAAATTGGTGATTATCATTCCTATAACCGTTTTATATTTGTATTACAAATATGTATGTCAATAAACCATATATAGTATTATTTACATATTTTAAATCTTTATATTAAATGCAATCATATTGCAGATATTATTTTAAGTCTTTCTCATTAACACTGTTTTTAGATTTACTTGTGTTGATACCCATCGTTTTTTTGAGATTTACTTATGTTGACATTTGTAGTTCTAGTTCATTCGTTTTCAGTGCTGTGTAGTACTATACAAACAATCTCTCTTCATATGCCATGGAAGGCCTACAAATCAAAAATATATGCCATAATATCCTATATATACATTGGTTAATGATGGACCACAAATTTGGCTCCAAGTTACCTGTTAACCAATGCAACGAAAGAAATATGACTCATTACATGAGTCACAGTGTCTGTAAGTTAAGAACAAGCCTACAGGTTGGGAGAATCACTACCACTTGTGGCATTAAACTTGATGGAAATTTCTTCTGTAGGCTCTTTTGATGAGACTGTGTCACACAATGAATCATATCCCAACAAAATTTTATGCCAAATTCAAACCCATTTCCATAAAGCTATTTTCTTTAATTCACCTCACACGGAACAATGGACATACAAAACTCAGAGCAAAAGATTGTGTCTAAATGTTGTTTCCACCCAACGAGTCCTTGTGTGACCCTCCCCCTCCCTTGTGACCAGATTCCCATTCCCCAAGGACTCTAGAAGTCCAATGACAAACAGCCAGGAGCCACCTCAGATCTGGCTCACCCTAATCACATCTCTGCTGGTTGGCCTTACCTTGGACAACTTCAGACCACTCACGTTAATGTTGCACAGGTCTGATGGCTTCCTCACATGGTGGTGCTTCAGCTGGAACACAGTGCAGAGTGTCAGCTCTCAAGCAAAGTTTATATAATTGGCAAAGACAATAAATGACTCCCTATTGAGGAAGGTGGCCTGTCTGCTATAGTGGAAAGAGCATGGCTTTGGAGTTGCTTAGAACAGAGCTGCCATCTCAGCAATTCCACCTCTCAGTTTCCCATCTGTAAGATGGGGAAAGTCACACTGACTTTATGGGATTCAGGACTCCTATGTTTCTTCTGTCTTTTCTGGGCCCCACATCCCCTTCCTGGTGCTTAAAATGTCTGTATTTCTGTATTGGTGCTTTACCAATCTCATACATTTGTCATAATTTGTTCATTTGTTCATTCATTCATTCATCCACTTATTCATTCACCAAATATTTACTAAGCACTACTTTGGGCCATGTATTATGCTAAGTAAATCAACTCTGTTCTACTCCTAACTAAACCCTTTCACATTAGTATGATTATTTTTCTTCTTAAATGAGAAAACAAGATTAAGAGAGATAAAGTACCTTGCCTAGGTCCTACAGCTAGTGACAGACCTATGACTTGAACTCAAATCTATAATCACTAAACTGTTTTGTTTTTTTTTTTTCATTTTTCCTATGATGATATTGGTTAACAAAATCCAGTAAGTTTCAGGTGTACGGCATATATATACACATATACATATGTGTGTGTGTGTGTGTGTGTGTGTATTGCATTGTGTCCCCACCACCCATAGATTTCTTTCTGACATCACATATTTGACCCCTTTTACCCCATCTACCTCCCCCCTCCCCCTCTTCCTCTTCCCTCTGGTAACTACTAGTCAACTGTTCATGTCCATGAGTCTCTGTTTGTTTGTCCTGTTAGTTTGTTGTTTTTAGGTTTAGATCCCCCATATAAGTGATATCATGTGGTTTTCAACTCTTTCTGTCTGGCTTATTTCACTTAGCATGATTATTTCAAGGTCCATCCATGCTGTTGCAAATGGCAATATTTCATCTCTTCTTATGTCTAAGTAATATTCCATTGTATATATGTACCACAGCTTCTTTATCCAATCATCTATTTTAGGACACTTTGGTTGCTTCCATGTCCTGGCTACTGTGAATAATGCTGCTATGAACATCAGTGTGCAAAATCTATGTTTTTTTTGACTACCATATGTTGCCTTCATAATTAAAATTTGGAAGAAAATCTCAGCTTTGGAGCTTATATTTCTGTTTAACCAAACCTCATTATTTTTTTTCTGTTAATCATTTATGGTATCTACTATGTTTAGACATGGAACTAGGCATTGGGAAAATAATGGAGAAAAAGCAGAAATATTCCATGCCTTCATAGAACTTACAATCGCATGGAAGCCAAGTAGCAAGCAAGTACTTATAAAATGATAAATATTTTAAAGGAGAAATTCAAGATGCTAAGGAAGACAATAACAGGCGGTCCTAATCTCAGTCTGGAAGTGAGAAAATATTTATCTGAAGAAGTAATATTTTAGCTGAGACCTAAGAGCTAAGTAGGACTTGGTCCCATGAAAGTGGGTGGCAGGGTTTGTGCAAGCTATCAAGGCAGAAAAAAGCAAGGTGCTTCTGAGAGGATGAAAAACAAGATAAGGCTAGGAAGGCAGTCATTAGATCATTTGGGCCCATGCTAGCTCTGTAAAGGAGTATGGATGTTATCCTACAGTCAATGGAAAGTTGCCAGTGTTTTTTTGGCCAAGGGCTGATAGCAATTTTATAAAAATTGCTATGTCTGATACACAAAGAAAGAATGAGAAGACAAGTGTGGAAGGGAAGAGACCAATATGCCAGACATTGTTAATTACCTTCCCTAGAGGTACTTCTCTACTTCTTCCCTGTTAAAGAACCCCAATGTTATTCACATTTCTCTGAGTGGCTATGTCTTTAAGACCCAGCTCTAAGTGATAAGTCTTGACTTGTCTAAACTAATCATGGAGGTCACATTCACCTCGAAATGGCTGTTGGAGCATGTGATCTAGGTCTGGCCAATGAAACACTGGCTGCTGGGGATGAGAGGCCAGTTCTGGGAAGCTTTTTTTACTTTTAAAAATAAGACAGGGACAATCATTTTTCTACCTTTGGATGTTAGCCTTTATATGTGATGACCAGAGTTGCTACAGCTATTTTGGAATCATGAAGGCAATAAGCCCGAGAGGACAAGTTAACATGCTGAGGTTATAAGAGCAGAAAGATGGAGGAACCTGGGTCTTGGAAGAGGTCATTAAACCAGTAAATTAACCTACCGTGAAATAACAATGCCTCTAGCTTCTTTTTATGTAAAATAAAGGCATCCTAGTTGGTTCAAACTAGTTAGAAAAGTACTGAATTAGTTCAAATAAAGATGACGGTAACTCAGATTAGGACGGTGGCAGTATAGATGAGGAAAATAATACAGATTTGACAACTATTTAATAAAAGCGCAGGGCTTGGTAATGGTGCGGGCGGGAGCAGTAAGGGAGAGGCAAATGACAAGGATAACCCCAGGTTACTGGCTTGGTGACTGGGTAGATAATAGGGCCATCATAGAGACAGTATAGTAAATACTAGAAAAGAGGTACTTGGGACTTGGAGTAAGGGGTTTGGTGCAGTAGGTCAATATGAGGTACCAGTGAAATATTCAAGTGGAACTACCTAATAGGTGGGTAGGTATCCCATTACTCTGAAAAACATCCTTGTTGCTTCTGCTATCCAAGTGGCACCATGAATAACAAGCCATCTCAATGTGGGAATATAAATGTTGCTGGAAACAAAGGGGAAAAACACTATGGGAAGTGTTTCTGCCCTTCATCCGTACTATTGTTTCAGTCCTCCTCACCCATAGTGAGAAGTGAACATAATCATGATGAAAGAAATTCCATAGAACTCTGCAAAAAGCTTACACCTCATCAGTTGAGATAAGATGCAACCAGCTGCCTCCTCAAAGCTTTCTTTCAACATCTGATCTGTGCAGAAATCCATCTCTTGAAAACCAATAGTGAGCATGGGAATGAAATAGGCTGTCAGAGAGTTCTTCATAGGGAGCTGTGAGAACTGGACTGCACATTAATATTGACTTACAAAATGTGTCTTTCTTTGCAAAGCCACTGAAGCAGGTATTGCACAGAGCAGATGTGAAATTTCCTGGCTGGTCTCCAACACAGCCACACCAGTCCTCTTTGGAAAGCCTGCCCCAGGCACTGGGTAATATTTGGTCAGCTCTTCTGGCCTTCAGCCAGACACTATACCCAAAAGACAAAGGTTGTGGAGCATGGGATCTCCCTAAGCGCCCCTGATCCTAGAGAGATCTCCCCAGAGTAGAGCAGGAATCTCTACACTCTACTAGGTGCTGGAATGAGATTTTCAATTTACTATTCCCCCTGATTTACATCTTTGCTTCCCCAACTCAATTAAGAATTTTTACCTGATATAATGTAAAAACACAGGCTTTGGAGTCAGTAGACCAGAGTTCTAATCCTGAGTAGAGCAGAGTTCTAAATACTAGCCATGGGACCTTGGCCACGGCAAATTAACCCTTAGAGCCTCAGTTTTCCCATCTGCGCAATGGCAACATAATAGGGATGATAATGTCTATCCAACAATGCAGATGTAAAGAAAGCTTTGCATGTAAAGAAAGCTTTGGGTCCCTTCATCATTCTAGCTATACTCAATTTGCCAAGATCACTCAAATAGTTTCGGGTCGGTTGAGGGTACCAGAGTGGAGTAGCTGGGACAGCCATCAGCTGATGCTGCCAGCCATTCCAGTATGCATTTACTCTTACCAGAAAAGCCCGGTCCAGCACGTGTACAGGAATATCCACTTGGTTTTCCAATCGAGACCCTTTCTTCTCTTTGACCTCAAAAGAAATCTTCTTCTGGCTTTCTTGACCTTCAGCCGGTACCTCAACCACACCCTTGGGCTTCTTCTTGAGGTTACCTTTCCGAGCCACTAACCAGTGTCCTCGGCCTGTTGAGATGATCAGAACAGTGAGGAGCAAACTCCTTCAAAGCCACAACTAGAGTACTTACAGAATATTTATCTATAATACTAAAACCAAAAAATAGCTCCTCATTACCTAATATGCCCCAGATACTGTGCTACTGCTGGCAACGGGGGTGGGGAGGGAGGAGGTGTCTACATACCTATCTCAATTAATTGGTCCCCAAACCCAGTGAAAACATGTTACTGCCCCCATTTCACAGAAGAAAAGGCTAAGACTCATAGAATGATTTGCCTAATTCCTTCCACCATATTTTTGCCTCTAAACTCTAATTGTTCTTCAAAACCCTAGATCAAGTATTTCCTGTTCTGCAAAGCCTATATGGACTCCCCTCAGCAGAGCCGATCATTCTTTCCTGCGTCATCTCTTGGGTAAAGTTCAATGCATAACATCAGCACAAAGAGCACCATCTTCCTAGACCTTACCCAGGATCCCATCATTACAGGGTAAAGATTGTATCAGGAGCTCAGAATGAGAAAATGACAAGGCAGTTGTCATTTTAAAAAAACCCCAATAATACAGGTTTACTGTAGAAAGAACTAGAAAATGTATGTAAGCAAAGAAAAACATGAGGTTTACTAGTAAACTCTCCTAACAAAAATCATGACAACATTCTAGAATCTGTTCTTTCCATCAGCGGTTTTTTACTACGAGGCATTCGTTGCAATCTGTAATTATTTTACTTGTTCACTTATTTATTGTCTTTCTTGCCCTCTAGAGAAGAAGCTCCACAGAGCACAGACTTTGTCTGATTCATTCATGTAAGTATTCCAAGGTCTGCACAGAGCTTACCACATTAAGTATTGCTGAATAAATGTCTGAATTAATCCTGAGCCACAGCCCCTGCCCACAATCATCCATTTAGATTTTTTCCTGAGCATCTACTTTGTGCTGGGAGCTGGGGCTATGGAGATAAATAAGATGGAAGCCCTGACTCAAAGAAAATCAATAAGACAACGGAAGCTATGGAAGCCCAGAGAGGGGAGCTACCAGCTTAGGGCATGAGCTAGATCTAGTAAGTTGAAAGTTGACTAGGTGGAAATGGAAAAACCAGGTAGCTGGCAGACAGAACAGCACAGAGCCGTGGAAAATAGCTTGGTGACTCTGACCACTGACTCCCTGCCCTCGCAGCCTACTACCCCTGCCTAGGGGGTTTGCCCTGGCTCACCTGACCACTGCTGCCAATCCTGTCTCTTGGATGCAGCTCCTGCCCTATGTCTAAGTGAGTTAGTCCCCATTCCCACTCAGGGCCTGATAGTCCAGGCACTCCATTTCCCAAAGCTACCCCCATCTGGAACCTGGTCCTTTGCCCTATCTTAACAGCCCTGACTCCTGGAGATTCCTATCTTTAGTTGGCGCCAAAATCCCAACACAGCCAGGAAGGAAGGCCCAGAGTGCATCAGATGAACTTGAGGGAAGAGTGCTAAGAGGCCAGAAGAGTCAGATCAGAAAAGGTCTTGAGGATTAGAATAAAATGTCTGGGTTTTAATGGGGCAGGCTTTTAGCAGAAAGAGTATCCATGGGAAGGGTTTTTCTGCCCTCATAATTTTTCATTTTGAGATAATTTTAGACTTCTAGAAAAGTTGTAAAAATAGCACAGAATTCCCGTACAGCTTTCATCCAGTTTCCCTAAGATGTTAACATCTTAAATAATCATAATACAATGGCTGAAACCAATAAATTAACACTGGTGTATTAGTAACTGATCTACAACCCTTCTTTGAATTTTGCCAGTTTTCTTACTAATGTCCTCTTTCTGTTCCAGAGCCCAATCCAGCAACTCATATTTCATTTAGCTGTCATGTCTCCTTAGTCTCCCCCAATCTGTGACAGTTCTTCAGTCTTTTTTCTTGTGTGATCTTGACACTTTTGAAGAGTACCAATCAATTATTTTGTAAAATGTCCCTCAATTTAAATTCGCTTGATGCTTTCCCATAATTAGATTAAGGCTTTGAAATTTGGTGAAACTACCACTGAAGTGATGCTGTGCCACTGTCAGCACATCAGAAGGCACACGATGTTATGTCTTATTACCGGTGATGTTAATTTTGATCACTCAGGTAAGGTGGTGTCGGCCTCGTTTCTCTACTCAGAAGTTACTATTTTTCCCTTTGTCATTAATGAATATACTTTGAGACTTCGCAAATATCCTGTTTCTCATCATACTTGTTTTCTAGCATCTAATTCTAACATCTGCGATGGTTAATTTTATGTGTCGAGTTGGCTAGGCTATGGTAAGTAGTATGGTAAGTAAATCTAAATCTAGGCATTGCTGTGAAAGCATTCTGCAGATATGGCTAGCATCGATAATCAGTTGACTTTAAATAAAGGAGACCATTCTCAATAATGTGCATGGGTTTCACCCAATCAACTGAAAGACCTTCAAAGAAAAAACCGAAGTTTCCCAGAGGAAAAAGAATTTTGCCTTAAGACTGCAGCATCAGCTCTTTGCTAAGTTTTCAGACCCTACCCTACAGATTACAGACTTGCTAGTCCCCATCATTTTATAAGTCAATTCCTTGAAATATGTTATATATGTATATGTATGTTTCTATATCTACACATATACATGTATGTATATGGAAACAGAATGGATATATGTGGACATATATTCATATATATATGTGGACATACACCCATATATATATGTATATATGTATATATATACACACACACACACACACGCATATATATATATCCATTCTATTGGTTTTATTTCTCTAGAAAACCCTGACTGATACAGCATCTAAAGACATTTCTTGACTGTAAAAATTATTATTGTGATGTTTTAATAGTGATTTTCTATTTCCTTCATTCCTTCTACATTTATTAACTGGAATTCTACCATAAGAAAGAGCTATTCCTTCTCTTCCACTGATTGATGTATATAAATATTTATTATATCATTATGGGCTCATGGATATTTATTTATTTTACGGTTCACAACCCAATTCTACCTTTATTTTGTTATTCAGATTGTCCCAGTTTTGGCCACTGGGAGCTCCTTCGGGTTGGCACTTACATCTTTTCGACATGCCCCCATCATTTTTCTGAGCACTTCTTTACTTTCTGGCACCACATGATGCTTCAGGCTCAATTTGTACTTTTTCTGCCCCAGCCTAGAAGCAACTTTTCCTCTGAGGAACCCTGACTTCTTTTATTAGAGAATAGAATTTAGACACCCAGATTCCCAGGTGCCAGTATGTTCTTCATGACTGAGGTATCATTGCTTTCAGTGGACTAGGAAATATATATATATGAACACACAGATACACACGGCTATATTTCTTTCTTTATCTGTCCCCTTATCTGTGTGAGGGGGTTGTACAAAAGATAAGAGGAGGTTAGACTCTGAAGGTAGAATAGCAGCTAAAAGAGCCAGCAATGAGAAGTCACTGAACAGAAGGGAACACAATGGTTAGATGTGTGTTTTAGAAGGCTCCCTAAGGCTGCTGGAGAAAGATGGACTGGAAGGGATGGAATTGGGTGGGGCAGGGAACAGTAGTCAAGGGGCTGGAGAAAGAGAAATGGATGTGAGACATTCTAAAGCAGGAGCTGGGGTAAGGCAAAGGTATCAATTTGAGAAGTCACCTGACCTTGCTCCGGCATCCGAAGCAGATTTTTGGCTGGAAAGCAGTTGTTCAGGTAAGGCTTCCCATCATCCAGCTTGTAGATTCCTGAGGAGGCCATTTCCCTGAGAGCCAAGCAAGGAAAATAAGGAAGTATAAGAGTGAGAAGGTACAGTATTGCTCTGTCATTCTAATGTGGTCCAGAGCCCCCCAGGACCACCACACAATACATACACCATATCTCTGAGACCCTAGAGGCCCCCTGCCTTGCTTCATAAATGGGCTTGTCCTTTAAATGAAGAGGGGGACAAGGCCCTGGGTTTTTTGTTCAAATCAATACTAATCCAGTGAAACTTTAGCAAGAGTATCACCTTTAGGCTCAGGCAGAACTGGTTTGAATACTGGCTCTGTCTTTCCTTGTTCTATGAAGTGGGAAAGTTACTCTACCCCTCTGAGCCTCAGTTTCCTCTCCTGTAAAATGGGGGTAATAACACCTACCTTAATAGGCAGATGAGAGGATCAAGTCAGAAAGGTAGTACCTGGTACCTATATTAAGGGCTTACTAGAAATGTTTACTGTTTTAACAGAATTCAGAGAAGAGGGGGCTCACATTTTAGGCAAGATGACAAGCAAATAATGAGATTTTACTTGTATAAATAGGATTTGAAGGATGAATTGAGCATGCTGATAGAAGGATAAGCATTCTAAACAGAAAAGCCACAGGACTGAGGGCATGGTGGCAGGCATGTCTGGTACAGTAAAAAAAGACTGGACCCAGGAAGGAGATGTGTGTTTGGGAGTCTTGGACAATAAGGCTAGACAGGAAGGATAGTGCCACACTAGGAGCTCAGGTTTTACCTAGTAAGTAACTGAGAACCATGGATGATATCTGAGCTGGGGAGAGCCAGCTGTGCTTTAAAAAGAGAGGTCTGATAAAAATAATGCTAGGTGAAATGGGATTCCATTAACTGGTCACCGAGTTATTACAATTCCAGCTCAGAAATACTGTTCCAATGCACTTTTCTCTGTCTCTCACTGCTTTTATTAAATTTTCATCTTTCCTCACCTAGAATACTGCAAATCTTCTGACTGGATTCCCATTGAGCATGAAGGCCAAATACTTGAGCCTGAAGGACCCTGGAGTCCTATGTTCTAACTTTGCAATTCCAGTCAGCCCTACCCATCAGGCTCAAAGAATCATTTTTCTATTCCCAAAACATATAATTGACATTCAGTCTTGCTTACCTTTGTTCTTGGTGTTCCTTTGACCTAAAATAGCCTTTTCCATCTTGTTCATCTGTTTGATTTCATCCTTTAAGATTTAGCTCAAATGCCACTTCCTTTGTGAATAAATCTCTAATAAAATATCTAAATTTCTTAAACCTTGAGCTATTAAGAGATTTGAGATTTTTCTTTCAAGGGATCCAGCCACTCCCAAATTTCTTTGGGACTGCTTCAGACAACTTGGAGTAGCAGTTGGGAACTGCTTGGGAACCTATAGCTTCTGGCCAGTGGAAGGGAGGCCATGGAAAGAATGCCTGGGGACAAATTCAGTAAAAGGAAGGAGCAGTATAGGGAGTTGGGATCAGGTGTCCTGAGAAAATGTTTCCTGGAAGTGACAAATGTGAAAAGTAAAGTGGTGCAGTAGGATGGGCAAAACTTTTGGAGATAGGAGGCTTAAATTTGAGTCTAGTTTATACCATTAAGCTGAGTGACCTTGAACAAATCAGTTTATTTCTTTGTGCCTCAGATTTCTCCTAAGATAAAAACCTGTGCCTTGGAGAACTGTTGTTAAGAATTAAGTGAGATCATAAAAAGAAAAAAAGGCTTCTTTATAGATCCAGTCCAGTTGCTACCCCTTCCATAAAGCCTTCACTGAATCTTCCAGTGGGAAGTAATTGCTGCTGTGGCTAAACTCTGGAGTATTTCTTCTGTATCTCTTTCACGGTCGAGACCTTCTACAACATAAGATCATTAACAATTGAGAGGGGGCTCCTTCAATAGTGACTGATTCCAGAACCTCTGATTCTAGAAACATGTCCAATTCACTGTCTTTCTTCCACCCTTCGAATGCTCATAGGAAACATGCAATAAACATGTGTGAGCCAAATGAAGGATATGATGGTATTCCCAGGGCCCAAGGGTTTTTATACATATTTCTGAGCTCCCTAATTAAACTCTAAGCATCTATGATGCTGTTCATCTTTTTATTCCCAGGACCTACACAGCACTTGGCGCATAACAGATTCCATAATTGTCTGTGAAATAAATGAGTAATATTGGTATCTCCTTTGGTCCCACACTGGGCATTATGAATTTCCTGATCCTTGACCACCCTGAAAAGGGTTGGAGGCCCCTCTTATGTGTCCCCATGACAACCCACACTTCTCCTAGTATAGTACTTATCACTTTATTATAATTGTTTGCTCCCCTTACCAACTTCCCACCTGCTATGAGGCCTATGGTAACTTATTCACCTATGTAATCCCAGAGCCTAGCATAGAGCCTAGAACTCACTAAAAATGTGTTGGGAAGATGAATGACTAGACTGATGGATGGGGAAAGATCAATTGTCATTCAATCAATCCGTCTTTTAGGAAAACTCTCTTGTGACCAACCACACCTATCTGCCAGATAGGTGAATGAATGAATGAATGAATGAGTAAATAGATGGCTGGGAAATGTTAGAGATGATTACTGTCACTGTTGGAGACAGTAACTTGCAGAATATAAAGACCTTGCTTCTGGAATGCACAGTACTTACTTGATCTTTAATCTTGGGAAAAGTCCTTTGACTTCCTTTTTTTTTTGTTTCTTCATCTGTTTCTTCACCTGTAAAATAGATATACTCCTTCTTAGCCTGCCATTCAGAGCTCTTAACCTTTCTCATTAATTATATACTACTGTGACCCTTCTGCTCCAAAATGTCTCATCTAGGGTCTTGAAAAATACCACGGGGCTAAAGAGCCCAGAAATAAATTGGTATAGATGTAAAGATAGAGACAGAGACATAGATGGGAAAGTGGAACAGAAGAATAATTTTGTGACAATGGGGTGGGGCTAGAGTGCTTAAATAAGATGTGAAAATCACAAATCAGTAATTTATATAATCATTTACACAACATAAATTTATGCACAGTAACAGTAGCAAAGATAAAGTTGAAAGATAAGGCACAATCTGGGAAAAGATATTGGTTATGCATATAACAGAATAAATGAATCAGATTCTGGTTCGTGGGAGACATACAGACCTGCACGCAACTAACCATAGAAATTGCAGTTCCCTATGAGGAACACTAGGTGAGAAGGTGTGGATTCACATCTAATGGTTACATTGTCTAGAAAGTAATCCTAAGAGAAGTATGAACTTTATTTATATGGTGGAAAAAACAAAGTCAAAGATCCAGACTTAGAGGATGCCTAATTAGCTTCAGCTTCCTCTGGTCTCTATCTCAAACTTGAAGCAATTAATATCAATCTAACTGTAGTGCCCCTGAGCTCCAAACACACACACACACACACACACACAGAGTAATGCTTCTTGTATGAATACATTTGCTTGTCCCATTCCTTTGGCCTATCCACTTCTGCAGCTCTTCTTTGTGTGGTGCATGCAAACAGTTTTCCTGTAGATCCCTTCCTCAGATTGACCCTTCTCTGTTCTACCACTTCACGCCCACCTCTTAATGGAGGCACTCTACCCTACTATATTATAATGGTCTGCTTACCTGTCTGTTCCCCACTCCAAACACCCCACCCTCCAACCCAAGGTAGTAAGCCCCTCTAAGGCCAGGCTACCTATATGTCTATACCCAGCACCTCAAACAGCCCATTGAAGAGACTCGATAAGGTTTACTGAACTGAACCACAAATGCAATGCTATGGAACACTTCATTATGTCTGCAAAGAAAGATCAAGAAAGGTGTCATAGAGCAGATGACAGTAGAGCTGGATCTTAAAAAACAAGAAGTTATAAAAGATGAGCAATAACAAAAAGCTATAGGGGCTTCTGAGTGGATTGCTTCAAAGAGGTGAAGAAATCTCATCTAATATTATGTATCGAATGTTAACTTCACCGAGACATGTATTTTGTTCAGTTTTATTCAGGGAAATATCCCCAGTGACTAGAATAGTGACTGCTACATAGTAAGCACTCAAAAAATATTTGTTGAATTATTTGGACACTTATGAGGGATTTACGAGGATAAAAAACATGTGATGCAATATAATAGTGCATAATATAGTACAATCCTGTTATGTGATAACTCTAGGTCACTAGAGTAGGAGTTCCACGAGAGTAGGAAATAGGTCTATCATGGTCTCTCTATATATATCCTTTAGACAGTTCCAGGCAATGTTGGTGCTCAGATTTTTTTGTAGGGGAAAAAGTGAATTAATAAAAATCTAGAATACAATTACATCCTGAAACTGTAAAAGCAGAGCGACAGAGGGAACATACCACTAGTTTTGATGTTAAAAAAACCTGGCTTCTAAACCAGGTTCCGATACATGCTATCTGGCCTTGGGTAAGTTTCTCATTTTTCCAATTGGACAGGGCTTTTAGAGGACTAAATGAGTGAATGGATGTAAAGAAGATGTAGTATACACACAGACATACTCACACACAGATATACTAACGCACAGTGGAGTATTATTCAGCAATAAAAAAAAGAATGAAATCTTGCCATTTGTGACAACATGGATGGACCTATTATGCTAAGTGAAATGGTAGAGAATGGCAAATACAGTATTTTACTTATACATGGGATCTAAAAAACAAAACAAGTGAAGAAACAAAATAAAACCAAAACAGATCAAACTGATAGGTGCCAGAGGGGAAGGAGATGAGGAGACGGGTGAAAAAAGGAGAATATAGTAAACAATATTGTGATAAGTTTACAACATGACAGATGATAGTGTGATCACACTGTAACGTATATAGATATTGAATCACTGTATTATACACCTGAAACCAGTATAATATTGTATACCAGCTATACTTACATTAAATAAATAAATAAATAAATAAATAAATAAACAAACAAACAAATAAATAAATGCACACAGGATACTGCCTGGTAGACAGTAGGCACTTAGTGAATGAATTCTCTATAACAGGAAAACATTACTAACGGTTAAATGACAGTCACCAGAGACTAACCCGCAGGTGCTGTAACGGGGCTAGAGATGGATGGAGAACGAGCTCTGGCTACCCCTTTGGAATCTACATCTGAGGCGGGGGAGACTCTAACCCCTCACGCAAACTAAGTTTCCAGCCCCACCTGCCTCCGGCGTCGTTTCCGCCTCCGGGGTGCCCGCAGGGGCAACGTCCCAGTCAAGCGGGATGCGCGCCTGCGAGCCTCCCGGGGATCTTGGAGCCGCTCCACGGTGGCGCTTGCCACTACCTTCTCCACCCCTTAGTAACCGCGACGCGGCGGCTAGCCGTGTAGGCGGCAACCGGCGGCCGGAGCCTCTAACTACTACAAATCCCGGCAAGCCCCGCGGCCACCTCTGCGGGCAACCTCGCTTCAGCAAGCCACGAACTACGAATCCCGATTGACTCTGCGCGGCGCGTCACGCATCAGCTTCAGCCAATCGGCTTCAGACAAGTAAGGAGGGAGACGCAGATGCAGACAAGATGGCGGCGGCGGCTGCACAGGGCGGGAGAAGTGGTGGCGGAGGCAGTAGCGGGGCTGGCGGTGGCTCCAGCTGCGGGACAGGCAGTGGCCGCAGCGGTTTGTTGGATAAGGTGAGGGGCCGGTCCTTGGGGACAGTCGAGGCCTGGAGAGCCCGGCAGGTGCGAACACCTTCCCATCCCCGCCCCCCTTTTCTTCTGCGGCTTCTCGGGGGAGTCCTGGTCTGGCCCACCATGGGAACTTTACTGGCACTTGTAGTCCGCTCTCTCCACACCTCAAACCCAGGTACTTCCCTCTTTATTTCTTTCTCGGAAGTGTACCTGTTCCTTCGTGCCGGCCACCACAGCTTAGGATAACTTGATGATTCCTACATTTCAACGCGGCTGTCGATTTTCCTTGGTGCTAGGGGTTACGGTTGATGGGGCCCATTTCACCTACGGGGAAAACAAGCCCAAAGGAATGAAAGCAGCTACTCGAAGTTAACAGCCCCTACTTCCCACTACGACCACTTCCCTTGCTTGTCTGTACAGATTCCACACTGCTCCTTGGCCTTCTATTTACTGAGGTTTCTGGGCGTTTTATCACGATACCCGGACACTGAACTTAAGTTTGAGTATTGACTTCTTCTACTGGGCTGACAGGCTTTAAGATTTATCTTTTTTTTCCCCCTCTCCACCGTCCTCTCCCTCATTTTCCCTCTCTTTCTGCCTCCAAGTGCTTGGAATTATGAGTTTGCTCCTTGCTTATGCTTGCTTCTTACTCTCTCCGCCCATCTCTCTTTCTGTTTTCTTTTTTTTTTAAACTGCGGTCCTAGCAACAAGGTCTTAGAGAGAGAAAAAAATGGAAAACTCTGCTCCTTGGTTGGCTCCTCTTGTCCTATGCATAGCATCTTGGAAGAAACCATTGCATGGAGATCTGGGTCCTAGTACTGCTTCTGCCTCTACTTAGCAATGTGACCTTGAAATGTTCTTGTTCTCGCTATGTCTGTTTTCTCATCTCTGAAATGAAGTATTTAATCTTAATGTACCCTAAGGCCCCTTCCAGTTCTCTCATTGTAGGGCCCTGGTCTAATTTGGTGACAAATGTTAAACATGGGAGTCTTTAATGTAGTAAATAGGATTTTTTATTTTAATTGAAAACAGCTTGCAGACTTCCCTGTGCCTAACACATGGTAGGTGCTTAAAAATGAATACATGATCATATTGAGAGTTTTAGATCCAGATCTTCTCTTTTTGGGTGTCATTGGTTTTGAGTTACATGGTTCTCACATTCTTAATCCCTTTTAAGAGACAGGAACATTTTCTAGGGGTTGGGATGGTAAATGTAAGAGTGTTGGGAATTGATGGTCATTTTCAAACACAAATCCTGTCTTCTTGCGGGTGAGTACCTCACAGCCTTTGCTCATCTTATCCCATTGACTGCTTTTGCTTTTTCCTTCCCTCTATTTGGATCATCAGCAGCAAACATTAAGTGTCATTCTGCTAAGGTAGTTATTACTGAAAACTAGATGCCATCATTGTGTTATTGAAAAAACCTGGATTTGGGGATCATAAGATTTGGGTTTTGACATAACTCTGCTGCTTTCAAGCTGTATGAAGACTTAACCTCACTAAGCTTCCCTTCATCTGAAAAGTTACGGTCTTTGGGAGAATCAAATGAGATGATATACATGAATGATCTCTGTAACATACAGTGTCAAATACGAATGTGTGTGTGGTGACAGAGAAATCAAGAATCCTGCTGTCAGAAAGTACTCAGTATTGCAGAGTATAGGGCATGGGGTACCCAAAATATTAAACATACAAGTATTTGGTGTGTATGTGTACTTTTTACAGAAGTGTAAATTAGAGAGAAAATGATCCCTGAGATCTACTTGATAAGGGGTTGGGGGCCCGAGGGGATGACCTTATGTCTGAGAGTGGAGCTGGGACCTTTTAGGGGAGAGAGAGAAGGTATACACCAGTTAAGAATGTCCTTGAGCTAAGGTACACAGAAGGTGCCTGATGTTTCTCATGTAAGTTGACTGGCTGGTTCTCTAAGAGATGTGTAATGACAAAATTGAGGAGGGCATGAATTTCTTGAAGTAGTATTAGGAAGCTCTTGAAAGTTTTTGAAACTTAAATGCCTTAAGAAAAGTATTCAGATAGTTTGGAGAGGTGGACATTAAAAGCCTTCTAATAAGTCCTTATACCATACGAATGTGTGGGTTTTAATATAAAGACAAGTTTGAGTTCTGTTGCAGGATGTTAAAAGCTACATGGCCTTGGATAAGTTACTGGATATTAGTGAACTTAAATTTCTTATGTAAACAATATGGAAGCCCATATATATGTATTACAGACTTGTAAATATTAAATTGTATAATATTGGTAAATGTTCTTTCTGAAGGGCTATAAAAATGAAATGACAAGGTGATGAGAACTCCCAACTGGAATAGCAGAAATAGATAAAAAGGCCTCACAAAGGAGCACTTGGCAGAATTAACCAAAAAGTAAAGTCGAAAATAAGTCAAGAGCTGTTAGGTACTTTTTCCTCAAAAACTTCATTTCTGCCTTACATTGAATTGTTCCCCTTCTGAATTCTCTAGCTCTTATGGCACATGAAATTAAGCTGTCACTTAATGTGACATACTGTCTTGTATTGTTATACCAATTTGTATTTGTCCAGTTTCCCATGAGAGATTCTTATAGTTCTCTATAGTAATTAACAGAATAAGTATTTGCAGTATTGAATTTAGCAGAGAAAAAACTTCAGGTCTGCCACCTCCATCTTCAGAAACAGCCTTAGAGGGTAGTGCCTTTATTTGTCTGGAAACAGTACTGTGGAAGAGAATATGGGGGGGAACCGTTATTTTCAGTGGAGCAGAATTGGAATGAATAGAGCTATTGCTCTGTGGGAAGAGGCTGTTACCGTACAATCTCTTTAACTTGATTTGCCTTGATTTTGTAGAGGGTTTTTAATTTTATTTCCTACAGCTGTAGTTTCACTTGCCATAAAGAAATGAATAGAGATGCAAATATGCTTATGGCTTTCCCTAAGCAGATGTGAATTTTTGCTTCTATGAAACTGACTTTAAGAACAAAGCAATTCTAGTTTCCTGATCTTAAAAATGGGTATGTAAATATAATCTTCCAGCCTTCATCACAGAATAACTTAGATCATTGCAGTAAGTTATTTTGCTCAAAGCATTTTGCTCTACATAGCAGGCTATAAAGAAAAATTACTTTCTTAATTTGTTTTGGCTTTTAAAATTTGTATGTGGTATTAAACCATGCTATACCCAAATTCTTTTAACCTTGTACCTGGATCTCTGTCTCCTGATTGAATTTGTTGGCGGTTCAAATTGTTTGGGCTATTAAAATGTGGTATTAAACCATGTTTTCTAGAAGCTATAGTCAGACCCTTTTAACCGCATAACTGGATTCCTGTCTCCTGGCCGGACTGTCAGCTTTTATAACTTAGTAGTTAAGAACATAGGCTTTGTCCTGCTTTGAATCCTGTCTCTGCCACTTACCAGGTGTATGTTCTTGGGCAAGTTAATAAATCTCTTTGTATCTCAGTTTCCTCATCTGTAAAGTGGGGATAATAATAGTCTTTATCCTATTAAGCGGTGTGTGGCACATAGTAAGTACTCAACAAAATTCATATAGCTACAGCTAACTAGCTGGTTATTCTGGGCTTCAGCTTCCTTAGATAAATATGTTTCATAACATAGTATGGAGACTGTTTACATCAGACTCCATTCGGATTCTAGTTAAAAATACAGATTTCTGGACCTGAGTGAGATTCTCTGGAAGCAAGGCCTAGACAGCTGCATATTTTCACACATAGCTATTCATTTCCTCTACAGTTTAACAGCTACTTCCGGTTGAGAACTAGATGATTTTTTAAATCTCTTCTAGTTCTGACATTTTAAGGTTTTTTGTTTGTTTGTTTGTTTTAAACTATTCTGCTTTTGAAATAATGGTTTCTCTAAAATGTATATAATGAGAGCTTGAAGCTCATCTTGTAGATATGGACACAGTTGGAGAGGGGAAGGTGAAGCAACTTGCTGAAGACCACACAGTGAGTTAGTAACAATTCTAGAAGCTGGCTTCCCCAGTTTTTAATCCAGTTCTCTTATGTTACTTAGTACATTGCCTGTCATTCTGGAGTTAATGTAGTAGTGAAAAGAACATCTGTTTTGAGACTGGAAGACTTAGTCTTAAGCCTTGACTTTGTCACCTACCAGCCATGTGTCCGTAGAAGGTCATGTATCCTCTTTTACTCTCAGTGATGGTATCTTAGCTTGCCTGACTTCTGAGTGTTATGCCTGTGGTTTTATGGCATTAGTATGGGGGGTGGGGTGCGGGGAGAGAAGGGAGGACCACAGTAGGGGGAGAGGGAAGAGAGGGAGAAGGGGAGAGAGGGAAACGGAGTGGGGAGAGAGGGAGGGAGGGAGAGGGGGAATCCAAGGTGCTAAATTGTCTTCTGTAGGTATTATATCATTTTGAACTTGTGCCAGTAATGTATGAGAGAATTACTTGCCTCAAACCAGGGAAATTGAAGCAGAGTTTGTCCAAAGTCATATAACTCATTGGCGATACAACTTGATTTTTAATTCAAAATGTTCTTTCCAATAGGCTACATTGGATTTACTCTTTTCCTTAGTTAACACATGCTGGTAAAACATAAAAGTTGTTAGCCAACAAATGTATTAAAGGAGACCATCCTCATTTTGTTACTGTCTGAAAGTCCACGGATGTATATTTTCTGAGTTTTGTGGTCACAGAATGAAAAAGATGACCAAATAGAGTTCTTTCTTGCTCACATTTTGGCAGAACAGGGATGGGATATGTGCGTTCACACTGTAGTCTCTGTAGCTGTTCTGGTTTTGAACTTGTAGATTTTGACTCTTCACCATGGAGACCGGCAACATCTTATGAGTACTATCTGATTCTATGACTCTGGTCTCATTCACGTTCATTTTTATTTTGTCTTTTAGTTTTTCAACATCAGAAGATAAATATTACTGATACTTAAGGATGCTCTTAAGGAAGTAGTTCATTTTACTATCAGTAAGATGCTGTGTCTCTTGATGCACAACTTTTTGTTTTACAGTGGAAGATTGATGATAAGCCTGTAAAAATTGACAAATGGGATGGATCAGCTGTGAAAAATTCTTTGGATGATTCTGCCAAAAAGGTACTTTCTTGAGGTGGGGGTCTGTTAGCATGTGTACAACTGACAGCCCATATGCAGGATCTTTTTCTTCTGTGATTTGGAATGACCTTGGCTTTCTGTGTTAGGAATTAAACCAGAAAGCAGTTTCTAAAATCCTTGCAGTGTATATAGGAGAACACGTGTTAAAATGTAAATGTTAGCTACCTCACACTCCTCAAATTCTTTTAATGTTTGAATTCCAAAAAGCTGGTAATCTGTTGTTTTCAAGGTTAATTAGCCTGGAGCCAAGAAGGTTGAGAGTATTTAAGATATTTATGCATAATTGGTCATCTCCATTTAAAAGAAGAAAAGGACATTTTAGCTTCATCCTTAGGAAAAAGTCAAGGATTAAAAATAAATGTATGAGGAGTTGATGAACTTTTTCTCTTGGATCCATTGTAAACAATTTGAGTCTTTTTTTTTTTTGCTTGGAGTGGCAAAAAACTACTTGGTAATTTATATGATTCTTAATATAACTTTTATCATGGAAATTAAGAATAAAAGCAGGTTCTAGGTAGGAATCATTCTTATTAGCTTGATTTCTTCTTCTCACTAGGTACTTCTGGAAAAATACAAGTACGTGGAGAATTTTGGTCTAATTGATGGTCGCCTCACCATCTGTACTATCTCCTGTTTCTTTGCCATTGTGGCTTTGATTTGGGATTATATGCACCCCTTTCCAGAGTCCAAGCCTGTTTTGGCTTTGTGCGTCATATCATATCCTTTATTTATGCTCGGGTTTGTTTTCTAGTGACTGTTCTCAAACATCTACTGATATTCCTCCCTGCTCCCTACAAAAAACAAACTTTGATCTTGGAGCCTATTAATGTTAGAATTTAACGTTACCAGCTGTGGGTATCTGTAAATTTATGTAGAAATTATCTTTGATATTTTAGATTTAATATAGTTATTTGATTTTTAATTCTATTTAGTTATTATAGAGGTTATTATAATACAAGTGTGAGCACCTGGTAGCAAAACACAGTAATAGTGCCAACTAGCTCTTATTTCTAGTCCAGAGCTTCTCTCATTAGACCAGGTTGTTTCAAGTCACTCTCTAGAATATTAAGAAAGGATCAGATTTTGGAGGTTCAGATCTGTGTCAGGTTTCCTTGAAGCTGAGGGGCTGAACTAGGAGTTACTGAGTATGAAGTGTAGGTGTGGCTTGTGTAACAGTGGAAATAACCTATTCTGGAGCTAGAGAACCTGGGTTTGAAATCAAACTATTTTGTAATCTTGTGCTAATAAGAACTTTTTTGAGACTGTTTGAATGCTACTCGTTTATAAACATGGGCAATACACACTGATAATTATCAAAGATTAAATGAGATACTCTGTAATGTGTTTGGTGTGTAATCAGCTCTGAAATGTTTTCTTTATGATAAATGTAGAATCATGTTTGTTACCTACCCAGTTTGATTATTTCTCAAAAAGCCGAATGCATAGGACTTTTATTATAGCATTACTATTATTACAAAAGTAATACATGTTCATAGTAATAGTTTTCTTGTGGCTCCCACTCCTCCCCTCCCCCCAAGTCAATCTATACATACTATATTTTTCTTTTTAATTTAAATATGTTGGGTGTCTTTTCATATTAGTATATACAGGTCTACCTCATTCTTAATAGCCACATAGTATTATTGAGGGTGTACTGTGTGCTATTATTGTAGTTCTTTAAAACAAATCATTTTGGTAGGCAGTTTACTTTTCTTAATATTGTCACTACCTGAAATATTTCTAAAAACTCCACTTTGGGGATTTTTCTTCAAAGACAGTTAGCAAGCCATTTAATAAAGCTGGTCCTGATAAAAAATGATATTACCCAAATTGATCTCAAATCATAGTCCCTACACTTGGCATCTATAAATCATCCCAGTATGAATTTTTGTCACTATAAGGCAGTTCAAAAGAATATTCCATGGGTTCTAGACACAGTTTCCAAAGGAGTTCCAAAGAAGTTTGAAGACAGAGAGCAACATTATTACAAAATATAGTCTCCCAAGAGAACTGCCTTGATGGAATTTCATTTGTTTGATCATATTTGTTTTAAACAAAAGATTTTGCCATTTTTATAATCATGCCAGTTTATGTATAATATTAATGATTATTATGTCTTCTGTGTGCTAGACACTTTATATATACATACATAAATATGTATACATAAATAAAATTTCAGGACAATTCTATAAAGTCAGTATTATCCCCATTTTAGAGATGATAATTAAGCCTTGGGGAAGGAAGTAATTTATCAAGGTTACATTGGTTAAAAGCCAGAATTCAAATCTAGGACTGCCTCACTCCAAAGCCCATACACTTTGCACTATACTTTCTTGCCTCTCACTTTCATAAAATTTAAATTATACAATATACACAAAGCTCTTATGGCAGTTTCTAATACATAGTAGGTTCTCAAATATGGTAGTTAATACTGTTAAAAACAATATAATAAGCCTATATGTATATAGGGAGTAATTGTTCTTATAGTAAACTAATTTGGTCAGTTTTAATGACCCTTTTGTTGATTGAACATGGTCAAGTACACTATGATTATTTTATATTTTATAGAGAAATAAGCATAAGTCTTGACAAACTAGGTAATAGGTTCTTCTTATACACATTATTCTTGAACAGAAAATGTGAGAGCTGGTTTATGCCCTGTACCTTTTTCCATTTTTTCCTTTTGAGATGTCCTTTGGACAACTAACCAGAGAGAGTTTTGCTTCTCTTGGTACATAAACATAAGGTTAAAAATGAAATAGCTCAATTTTCAGTGTTCGTGCAGCAAAGTGAAACTCTTCTTGAGTAATTTTTGTAGCCCTTGCTTGTCATTTGTGTTATTTCTCTTTTTTTGTGTATGTTTGTGTGCTTTCTCCTTAACTTTATTTGAACTTATTTTGTGATGATGGGGATCCTGACCATTTATACCTCATATAAGGAGAAGAGCATCTTTCTCGTGGCCCACAGGAAAGATCCTACAGGGATGGATCCTGACGATATTTGGCAACTGTCCTCCAGTCTCAAAAGGTATGACTACCCTCACAGATTCTAAAATCCTGGTGTTGGATTTTCCCTGGGTATCGAGTCATCAACAGATTATTGTATACCTGCTCTATGCAGATCATAGCGCTAGTCATGTAAAATGAAGAAAGGGGTATGAATATTCTAGAAGGTTTTTCCCAGCATTGGAGTTCTGAGATTGCATCACAGATGTGCTTGGGATAAACTCTGGGAGAAAGTACTTTGGCGGAAGAATGAAGAGTGATTTTCTTTTTCCTTGTGGCTGATTAACTGAGTCAGTGCAGAAACTATAAAGGCTAAAGGTGTGAAGTCAGTTATCTTTGAAGGAACCCTATTAGCATCTCTTTCTTCTGTGATGTCAGGAATATCTAAAGCAATTTCCCAGGTAACTCAGAGAAGCACAGTTCAATCTGTTTCTGTACAGCTGACACCTGAGGTCTTTCTATGTATCTGGAACGGGGTTCAAATTCCAGCTCATCTCTTTCCAGCTGTGTAACTTTTATTAGACCATATAAACTATTTGAGCTTTAGCAGGGTCAAAAATGACTTGTAAAGTTGTTGGGAAGATGAGATACTAATTACAATAATAGCAGATTTCTTTTGTGTGTACAGTGGGTATTGTGCCCAAGTGCATTATCTCACAATGTACCTTAGAACAACTTATTTTATAAATAAGAACACAGGCCCATTGGTTCTTCCAGGGTTATACAGCTCCAGACTGAATTCCAGCAGGTATTCTAACCCACTCCTGAGCCTAGGATTCATACTCTTAGTCACAGTCCTAAAAACACATGGTACAGTTCCTATCATATAGTGGGCTTTCAAATTATAAATACCATTATTCAAATATGTGAAGGTAAGTATAGCATCAACACCAAAAAGCCTCTCATTACCAGCTTGTGGAGATGGCTGTCAGGAGGAGCAGACCTTCATTCTGATATTACAGCTGAGTTCTTACCTTGTCCTGGCAGGGCTCCTGGTTGCCCTTTTGGGTCAGCTATCCTAAATCTACCTGCTGTGCTAGGCCATTGAAGCAGAGTTGCAGAATTCTGGATGCTTACAACATCTTGATTTCATTGATTTTATTCTGACATGTAGTTTTTAAACAGCTTTATTGAAATATAATTCACATACTGTACAGTTTACCCATTTAAAGTATACATTTCAGTGGTTTCTAGTGTATTTACAGATATTTGCAACCTTCACCACAGTCAGCTTTAGAACATTTTCATCACCTCAGAAAGCAAGCCTGTACCCTTTAGCTGTATCATCTCCCTATCCTCTATTCCCCACAACCATAAGTAACCACTAATCTACTTTCTGTCTCTGTAGATTTCCCTGTTCTGGATATTTCATATGAATCATATAACATGTGATCTTTTGTGACAGGGTTCTTTCACTTAGCATGTTTTCAGGGTCATCCATGGTATAGCATGTATCAATATTTAACTCTTTTTTGTGCTGAATAATGTTCCACTGCATGTATATACCACATTTTGCTTATTCATTTATTAGTTTACGGACATTTGAGTTGTTTCCACTTTTTGGCTGTTATGAATAATACTGCTATAAACATTTGTGTACAGGTTTTTGTGTGGAAATATGTTTCCATTTCTCAGGTAATGTATGAAGGAGAGGAATTGCTGGGTCATATAGTAACTCTTTTTAAATCGCTTGATGAACTGCCAGACTGTTTTCCAAAACAGCTGCACCATTTTACAATCCCACTAGCAGTGTATGAGTGTCTGATTTTTCCACATTCCCTGCTGATTTTTACCAACTGCCATATTGTTGATGCCTGTGGAGAGGAAATATGCCACCCTCTGTTCCTTCTGATTGCAATTAAATACAGTCCCAATTCTCTTTCCTTGAAGAAAGCTCCTGTTTTATTGATACTCTTTAATGTAGGTCTTTTCAGAAGTCTTGGTGCTTCAATATCCAAGTAGATTATTATTCCAACACTCTGGCCTTTCAGTTTTACTTCTCTTTTCTGATTCTCTTGTTTTCTACCATGTCTTAAACACTATTTCTCTGGATATACCCTAGACCTTGCTATTACTGATAACTAATTACTTTCAATAGTTTCAGTTTTAAGTATCCCACTCTGACCATTGCTTTCTATTTTTTCCAATTTATCTCTTACTTCTCTTATCCTAACAATTCTTCAGCCTCCTTGGCATCTGTAATCCATTGAGCCTACCACCTTTTCACTGTCCTACCCCTCGCTTCCTCCTTACCTAGCTTAGATTCCATGGCATTTCTGTAGTCCAGTTACTCTCAGTGTTCTAGAGAATCTTTCATCTCTTCTATCCTCAAACCTCTTCCCCTCCTCCCCCACCTTTACTCTCTGCTTCTTTTATAGGTGAGAAGATAGAAGCAGTCAGAACTCTTGCATCATTGCCTCTATAGAGTGCTCATCGTATTCTGCCTTCTTTCTAAGTTCCTTTTGAAAGCCTCCTCTCCATTTGTCCACTAGATTCTTATCTCTTCTTATTTACTTGATTTCCGCTTCTGCTGGATTGTTCTTTCTGGCATACAAACATGCTGTAATTTCTCCCATCCAACTAAAAAAAAATTATTTTCTTTCCCCATATTCTCCTCCCATGATCTTCTCATTTCTCTGCTCCCCTTTTCTTCTCCCATGGTCTCTTGCATCTGCTCTTCATTTCTCTTTCCTCATCATGCTTAACCTATCAGCAGCATTTGACACGGTGGATCACTCTATCATTGTTACACTCTTCTTTTTGTTAACTAGGCTTCTAGGATACCATAATCTTATTTCTAATTTTCTTCTTACCTTAATGTCTGTTCCTTAGTCTTCTTTGTGATTCTTCATTATCCCCTTTTTCTGAATTTGAAATGCCACTTGTGCTTGTTCCTAGCACCTCTTCTTTGTATTCACTCACTAGGTGTAATCTTATCTAGACCTCAAGACTTTAAATACCATCTATATGATGAAGATCTCTAAATCTGTATTTTCATCCTAGACCTCTACTCTGAACTCCAGATATATCTCACCTTTCTGACATTGGATCCTAATGAGCATCTCAAAATTAATACATCTAGAACCCAACTCTGCTATCCCTAATTTAAACCTGCTTTCCTCCCAGTTTTCCCTATCTCAATAAATGGCAACTCCCTCTTCTAATTACTCCAGTCAGAACTCTGTAATTATTTTGACACCTTTCTCTCAGTCCTTTCAGCAATTTGTCAGCAAATCTGTCAACTCTACCTTCTCAGTATATTCAGTCTGACCACTTACCATCTCCACTGCTACCATCATTTCACAATTAGGTTACTGTAATAATGTCCTAACAGACACCTGCCCCTGCTCTCCCTGCCCATAGTCTATTCCCAGTGCAGTAGGCAGAATGATCCTGTTAAAACATAAGGGCAAATCAACCCAATCTTCTGCTTAAAACCCTCAGAGAAAAAAACTGAAATCTTAAGCATAGCTTAGAAATCCATACTTATCTTCTCCACCCCACACACATATGCAGACACACCCTTCATCGCCTATGGCTCTTAGCCTCTTCCACTCCATTTGTTCTCATTGTCATTTTTCCTGTTCTTCACACGTTCCAGGCATGTTCTTGCCTTAGGACTTTTGCATTTGCTGTTTCCTCTGCCTAGAATATTCTTTTTCTAAATAGCTTGTTCTCTTATCTTCTTTGGGACTCAAACATCGGCTTAGAGAAGGCTTTCTGCCAACCATATTTAAAAGAAACATTGTATTTTTTATTTTATTGTTGGTTTCCTTACACAAGAAGTCCCAAAAGGCAGATATTTGTCTTTTGTGTTCACTGCTGTATATCCTTAGCATCTAAAACTGCCTGACTTGCATAATTGGGGTTGAATAAAATATTTATTGAATTAATGAGTAACTATTTCTAAAATGTATCAGGTCACAATTCATCAGATCATGTCTTGCCATCAAACCCATTGGGTCCAAATGTTTAAATATCACTGTAATATCAGTTAGCAGCAGTTGAGAAGAATTTTTGAGGTGTTGAAAATAGTTCAAGGACCTTCATCTTAGCTAGCCATCCAGGTTGGGAGTAACCGGCTAGATGACAGTTAATTGAGCTGTGATTTTTTTCAGCACTTGTTAATGATAGGCACTATTTAACCATGACAGTGATTCTGAAAGGTAGATAGTAGTTTTCTTATTTTAAATATGCATAAACAGATACAAGCAATTTCTTCTTCTAAAGGTAATACCAGCCTGAAATCCACTGAATATGCCCTGATTAAATGGAGGCTGAAATAGGTAGGGGTTGGGGAGGAATGTCAGCCTGCCAGAGGTTGATGTCATAAACCCTCTTGAATGGGTGGAGATAGTAAAGGCCTTCACGATACCCTAAGTTGTAGCTAAAGAATCTGTATTTCATGCAGTAAAAGACATTCCTGGCCTGGGAACAAGGTAGAACTCAGAGCTAGATTGGTTACAGGGTATAAGAACTGAGCAACCTGGACTTGGGGAACATCTGTGAAAACTAGGGTTCTTCATTTATTCATAAAAATTTGCCTACCAAGTGCCAAGCTAAGAATAGAAAACAAGACAAAATCCTTGCCCTCAAGCATCCCTGAGTCCAGCGAAGAATACAAATAAACATCATTTCAATAGGTAATTTCACTGACAGCATCGAGCCTATCTTTAGACCTGGCACATGATTGGCACTCATTCGACTATTGATTGATGGTGCTGTGGAAGACAAAAGGAGAGAGCTCCAACCCAGTTAGGGAGTGTTTGGGAAGTCTTTGCCAGAGAGATTTATGTCCAAATATAGTATTAACAAATGGGAACTCTAGTTAGTTGAGATTGAGAAAAGTGTCTACTAGGAAGATTCTTCTAACATAACGAATGTGAAGTCCAGAGGTGAGAGAACATGGTCCATATGGCTTAACAGTCTATGACAAGATAAAAGAGATCTACACTAATTAAATCAGGGAAGACATGGCAATACCTATGAATCAGAACTCATCTTGAAGGCAGAAACGCTTGTTGTTTGTTTTGAAAGGACAAATTTGTGTAGGCATCTCAGCCCTGTTCTTCAAAAACACTTGGTGCTTATTATTACTGGTTGAATCTCTGTTTGGTTTTTGATTTATTATCTTTGCTTAGGTTCGATGACAAATACACTCTGAAGCTGACCTTCATCAGTGGGAGAACAAAGCAGCAGCGGGAAGCTGAGTTCACCAAGTCCATTGCTAAGTTTTTTGACCACAGCGGGACACTGGTCATGGATGCATATGAGCCTGAAATATCCAGGCTCCATGACAGTCTTGCCACAGAAAGAAAAATAAAATAGCCAGTTCTAAAAGCGGCCATCTTTCTGCAGGATCATGTGGAATCATGGGGTGAGGGAGAAAGTATCAGAGAACTTAAACTGGATAAAATAAGAAATGTTAAAAATGTCCCTGTTTTGTCCTGAAATTTTAGCCCATTCTGGGTAAATAGGATTTTCTAGCTCAGATACAAGAAATTGTAGCTCCGATATCTAGCTGTAGCCTCTTAAGTCTGCTAATTGCGTTGATTTGCTTTTCTGGAAAAGCAGTTTTGCTAAAAGCTGTATAGACTTTCTCCTTCATATCTAGCAGAACTTAATGTAGTAAAGCTTTGTGCCATGCAGCATCTGAAGACTCAGTTTTTAAAATTGCTAATCTGTTGCTGACTTTATTATGTTAATCCCTGTTTCAACAACTGTTTCCCTTAATTCAGGATACAACTTCTTGTGTACAGCATCTTCACACACCATTTTTTACGGGTGTGTGTGTGTGTGTGTGTGTGTGTGTGTGTGTGTAAACACCCACACACACACCCACCCACACACACACACACACATATATGTTTGGAGAGAACTGGGGCAAAGAACAGCTTTTTAATTTGTTTAAAAAAGACCTGTTACATTTTGTGCTCTTAACCAATTAAAGAAGCCAACGACATTTTTAGTTTTATATTGTCTATGTTTTCACTAGTATATCCCTGTTGATTTGTTTGTGTCCTTTATGAACTGCCATTTTCTAAAATTTTTTTCAATAAAAGGAAAGGTGTGAAAAAGTGGAGTTTTTGATGGATAGTTTTGATGGAAGGAACAGAGCAGCAAGTGTTAACAGTCTTACTCTGCTATAGGTTCTTTTTGTTTCTAGGCTGTTTTACTGGTCAAAAGCCCCTGAGGACTATAGGTGAGGAATTGCTAGCTTTCCAGTGATAATAATAATGACATTCAATACTTTGTGTCAGGTAGTGTTCCAAGTACTTTACCATGTGTTAACTTACTAATGTTCACAAGAATCCTAAGAAGTAGGTACTATTATTATCCTAAAAAGTAGGTACTATTACTATCCCCATTTTATAGCTTGAGGGAACTGAGGCACAAAAATTGAATAATTTGTCACACAGCTAGTGATAGAACTGGGATTTAAACCTGGATAATCTGGCTCCAGAAGCGTGAGCGGTATCTCTTCTAGTATTTTCCCACTGTGGTCAGAGAAGAACTGGGCACTTGCTTAGATCCTGTGACCAATAGGAATGTTGTCCCTCTATCCTTACAAAAGTATGATTCCAGTTCAACCTAGTACCTTTTAAAACCATATTCAGCTTTTAAAAAATCATGCTTACCACATTTTCTCTTTGACTTGGGAATGTTGCCCTATCTAGTGCCATATAGTGGCGGATTGTGCAACATTACTGGATGGGAGTTGAAGCCTTGGATTTTATACTCTTTATTCCCGTCATCCTTGGGTAAGTCATGTAATTCTCAGAGCTAGTCTTCTCACCTCCCCTTTTAGGTGATAATTCTATTAGCTATTTGAAGCTTTCGAAAGTGTGTAATTGGATAATTGTATTTTTACAATGAAGGAATGACTGTTAGACACAGGGGTCCCAAGGCCTGTGGATGTAGATAGGGAATAACCCTTTCCACAATGACTCCTTGGAGTCTTTTCACATCAGATGTACCTTTTTTTTTTTTTGCATACTTGCATCTTTTTTTTTTAAACAAATTGAATTATGTTGAAATATGTTCTGTAGTTTATCTTAATATTTTTTAGTTGTCAGTATATATAGGTCAAACTCATTTTTAATAACTGCATAACATTCTGTAGTAGACATGGTTTTAATTTTATTCTTTCCCTGTTGACAGATGTATTTGTTGTTTGTTTCTAGCTTTTCACTATCCCAATGAAAAAGTGGCATAAAAGGGGAAAAACGGTTTTCAAGTGAGAGACAAGAGGCCTAGGTTCTTTCCAGCTTTATTCTAATTTGTGATCTTGGGTAAAGCTCATTCCCCTAAATGTCTGAAACTATCAAAGAGGTTTTAGATAATGTGTTCTTGTGAGATTATGGAGGCTCTTTACCCTCCAGAAATGCCTGCATACTAAACATTCCTTGTGATTATAAAGAATATGAGTGCTATAATCTTTTAAGTCTGCCCATAAAACCCACTTAGAGATTTCCTCAGTAGCATAGATATCTTAAGGTTTTTCCATGATGCCAGACACCAGTAGGGGCAGTATCAAGTTGCTGAAAAAGTGGGTTAGCCCTGTGTTGCACTTGGTCATCTGCCACTACGCCACACCCCACACTTGTGTTTTAGGACAGTTTCTCATCACGAACAGGCTTATGCCTCAGCATGGGTGCAGTTTGTGAGGCTGCAGGCAGAGTGCTTCTGGCTGGCTTTTGACATCTGTGTCAAGTGAGTGGTTCCCTCCAGCCCATTTTGAAAGCTGCTGGGCTGCTCTTTACCCTCTTTAGTAAGTCTGCAGCATCTCTCCCATTAGGAAATCCTGATATCCATCACATTTTCCTCATAGTTCTCAGTTCCTCATACCTACCTAAGAAGGACTTAGATCTTCCAAAATATGACTGCTGAGGAGATTGGGGAAGGATAGCTAATGCTTTTAATTATTTGCAAATTTTAGCTGCTAATGTGTATCTGATATTTGGTGCTTTTATTTATATATATGTATATATATATAATTTATCATATATATATATATGAACCTTTTTGCTTCAGAACAACCTTAGGAAGTGGAAGAAAATGCAAAGTTCCTTTGAATACACACAAGTTGTATGTTTCTCTGTGTCTAAATTCCTCAGTTTAGAGCCCTTTCTCTTACCAAGTCTCTTTACCTTATCTCCACCTCTGCCTAGGTACCCGCCTCCCTGCTGCAAACCTTGTCTCCTTGATGGAAATCAGCTGGGAAAACCTCTAATATCACATTAATACATATATTTTAGACTGTATTCTGTCTCCACTGACAGCCTTTTATGTTATTAAATATAATAATCCAGCCTGAAAGCATATGTGCTCAGATGACTCCTCTGATAACCACAATTGCCTTAAGAATAATCGACAAGGATTCCTAACCTTTTTTTGTACCCTGGATTTTTTAAATTGTTTGGTGGTGTCTGTGGCCCCCTTCTCAGAATAGCATTTTAAATACATAAATGTGTTGTTGCCTGTTAATGAGGATTTGGGGAGGTGGTTGCAGGCTCTGAGTAGTGGGAAGTAGCTTCAAAGATGTTCACAAGGTGCCCTGGTTGTTGCATATTCTCCTCTGGGCAGGAAGACTCCCTCACTAATCTGGCAGTCAGCCTTGGGACCACCCCGTTGTAACTACTGACACTAATATTCCTCCTGGGTGATCAGCAGATTCCTCCTTTGGATAGTAATTACAGAGACACACACCTACAAGAGCATGAAAGGAAGGAAATTCTCGACTTCTTTGGGCAGAAACCAGATGAATTGTTAGATCTTTGGCTGGTTTGCTTGGTAGAGTAGGGATTTGGATGCATGATGCTTGTTAAAGAAGAATGGCAATTGTTGGATTGTCTTACAGTCAATCTCCTACAGTCTACCATGCCAACTTTAAATCCATTCAGAGACAGAATAAAAGACTCAGAATTTTTTGCATTGAATCTTAGCTGCTGTAAAAGAGCTTTGACCTTTTGGGGGCAGATTTCCCTTTGACAAACTTCTGGGAAACCACTGATGAGCATTGAATAATATTCAGGCTCTTACAGCCCTGGATTTGGTTTATAATGCTATTGAAGGTGACCCACTGGAAAATGAGAAACTTGGGAGAAGCAATCTGTCATGAGCCCT